AAAGAGGAGGGAGGATTTTGACCTTCTTCAAATTTTCGGGGAATAACCCATGTGCCTTCAGGTGGTACAAGATAAATAGATTCAGCATATGCAGCTGCCCATGTAGCTCGTGTATAATAAGAAGAGGCAAAGGAGTAGGGGTTCAATTTCAAGTGCCGACATACCACAATAGCGTGCTTGCACGGGAGTTGCTCCAAGTCAAACTTCCTGCATGTACAACTACGGTTTTGCAAGTGCACCAGACCGTTCAAATCACCATCCAGAACATTATACTCGACCTCATTGATTTTGACCACATTCATCCTTGACGCAACGTCTAACCTCTTCCTTAACTTAATTTCCCCTAAATCAGGGCACAACATAGAATGAGATTTCATTGCTAACTCTCGACGTTGCCTAAACCAACAGACAAGTAGATTTGTAATTTCGTCAATCAAGTGTAGCACCGGAAGCATCCTTGCAAACCGAAGAACTGAATTAATGGACTCCACAATATTCGTTGTCATCACATTATATCGTCGTCCATCACAATGGGCCCGAGACCACTTCTGGACGCCTGCACGTAGTAAATAAGTTCGCACTCGGTCATTGTTTATCCTGGAAAAGTGACGATTGAACTCCGCTAGACGATAAGACTTAGCTGCCCTTACAAAATACCCCAATATCGGATCCCGCTGCTTCAACTTAAATGAGGCTTTGATATTGCCTTTCAAGTGATAAAAGCAAATACCATGGCTTGCCCCAGGAAAAACTCTACGCAACCCATTCTGTATGCTAACCTTGCGATCTGATATGACAACGAGATTCGAGCAATCACCAATTGCACAATGTAGTTTTCTCAAAAACCACTCCCAAGCTGCATCCGTCTCCAAATCTCCAATCCCAAAGGCAACAGGATATATGTTCCGATTTCCATCAAATGCGGTCGCAACAAACAAAACACCTCTATACTTGCACTTCAAATGAGTAGCATCAACAGCAATCACGGGCCGCATTGACGACTTAAATCCTCGTATGCATGCACCAATTGCCATAAAAAAATATAAGAAGTGATCAGCTGCATCAGTCTCAATGTATGTCAAAGTTCCCGGATTTGTACGCTCCAATTCATAACAATAGGAAGGGAGAAGGGAATACGACTCTTCTGCAGACCCTCTAATTCTTTTGAAAGCTAACTCTCGGCTTCTCCACGCTGTAGAGTAGCTTATGCTCACACCGAAATTTTGTTTCACATCTTTCTTGATATCAGCTGCTGTATAAATGCTGCGCGAATCCTGAAATCTCCACTTAACACAGTCAGACAGCAGTTCAGTCGTAGCTTGAGGATGATGACTACTTATATACGTTATATCACATTCATGAAGTGGATCGTATTTAACAACCTTAAACTCATGTAATCCAACTTTATATGCCCGAACTTTCCAAGGGCAAGGAAGCTGCCAACAGCGAACACACAACCGATGCTTCCCAGATTGGACAGTTCTCAATCGAAAGTGGCCTGTAATAGCTGCTAAACTGATGGTTTTTAAAAGGGCAATCTTATTTGGATAAACTCGGCCAACCTTCAAATTTGCTTCCCAATTTATGCACGAAACGCCTCCACCATACTGAATATATTCCAAACTCTGACCATGCTTCAAATCACCCCGACTTGTATGCATTTCAGTCGAACTTGATTGTCGGGGAGGTTCGGATTGCACCTGTCTACACTGCACAGTGGACGGTTCGACATTGCTGTCCTCATGAGGATGCAGAATCGGAGCAGACTGCGGTTCCTCTTCGTTGCTAGGTTCATTGAAATCAGCAACTATGTTTTCACCACTTTCAAAATTCACTTCTTCAACCCAATCACTCCAATTAAAATCATTCCCACCATTTTCAGTTTCATTGTCCCGAATTACCACATTTCTTTGTTCCACAACAAAGTCAGCAGGAGCATTGCTACTCTCAACGCTTACAATGCCATTGCACCCTTCAATACCATGACCTTCAATATTTTTCAAGCTTGCTACTAAAGGGGTTACTTTAGAGGCCATAACATCTGTGTTGTACTTTACAAAATATTTAACATCATCATTGTCTTCAACCCTTATATGCTTACAGACAGATGAGGATACAGGAACTGAATATTTCAGTGTGACAATATATTTCGTGGGATCTGCATCCATGATCTTATAAATGCGCTGAACAAGGTCGGAAAACGTTACATTCCGTGACACTATTATGCCTTTAGCCTCCCCACCTTCGTAACTCTCAATGTTATCCTTCTTAACCCAACTTCCATTGTAGCATACCAATATTCCAACAGTATCCATTTCTGCAAATAACATACATAATTACTACAGCAATGAATAAAACTAAAAAAGATACATTCAAACAAATAAAAACATACCACTACACGTATCATTTTATAAATCTTCCAAACTCAAATTCTAGCTGCTTCAACAAGGAACTTTTATTCATTTATGTCTTTTCTCTGATTTTGTACATAGCTGTGGGTTCCAAGTTATTCACAAACTCACATAAACATACCATGGCAGCAATATGAACCCTCTAACCTCTAAGGGTTTTCAACAAATGTAAACTACTTCAACAAAAGGCTCAGGTTGTGATACAGAACATATTATGTGGTATAAGCTCAATTACCAAATTGGAAACCAAAACACACAAACTTTACTTCTTACCAAAACAAACCCAGAATGCCAATAAATTCCCCACATTAGCATATACATTCAGCTTAAAAATACCCTAACAAACCTACTTTTAGGCCAGACAAAGTTAACATATGATTTTTCTGTGTGCTGTTATTTTGCCCATTATCAAACACATTGCACTACATTATACAAGCATTCCGTCAATTTTAACCAAAATTCAAGTTTACCACATACATCCCACTGCAGATAATAACACAAACTATGAATTTCAACATATCATAACGCCTTGAAACTGAAAATTTAAGCTCTTCTGCCCTTCTGTGGTGAAAAGGGGATGCACGATTTTATAATACACATACACTACCAAACCAATATCTGAACTCACCTCCGTTCACAACGACGCCGGAAGTCGCCACTTTCGCTTCTCCGTGGAGTCGCAACAGTCACTTCGATCTGGAGGTCAACAATGGAGGCGGTGCGTTCCGCCGGCTTCGCTACGGTCAAACTAGGGTTCGAAAGTTTAGGACATCTGGGTTGTGACTATGGATGGGTTGCGAACTGGATTGCTCAGTGCCAAAATGTCTCGCAACCTAGAGTTCACCCCATTTTTGCCAAACTGCGAAAACAGAGAACAAAGAGCCGCTATGCCAAACTGCGAAAACACAGAAGAAAGAGGCGCTAAAGGGTTGATACATCTGCTTTTATATGGAGGGCACTTCGGTCATTTCACGTCCCCAAGTGATTATATTAGAATACAATTTGTAGCCTGATTATTTCAGCACACTATTTCTAAAAGCTGATTACACCAGCATATTTCCCGTATTTTATTTAGTATCCACATGTCATCCACGGGATCCATATTTTTAATTCTCTAAATTAAATATTAAAAAAATGTTTAAAAAACCACCCTAAAACTACCCCCCAGTAGAGTAGGTTGCACCAAGCCCAGCCCGACCCGACCCGACAGTGCCCTATCTTGCAGGTTGCAGCAGCAACCGCTCTATTTCCAGGGTCCAGCCTCCTCTCTTCTGTTTCTTCTTGTTTCTCCGTCAATAGTCTCCATACTCCACGGGACCCTGGTGAGCTCCTAGCCTCCTCGTGTTGTCATTTAATTTCTGATTGTGTTCCTAACTTCATAGCTAAGCTAGAATTTAGGGATTTCGGGATTCACATCATTTGATTTGATAACACTCTTGTGTTGTTTACTGATTAAAAAAAAACGAGTTTATTGTATTTTGGGATATTGTAGGCTTGGCTTGGGTTTCTCGTGGGAAGTCATTATGTGTGATGATGTAAATGATGGTTGGTGGATTATCGACTAAGCTGTTGAACATATGCATAGCTTCATTTTGTAAAGTCCGGCTATTGGAGAAAGCAGAAGCCATTGTAATCGACGGTATAAGATTAGGGGTGATTCCAGATGTGGTAACTTACAATACTTTGGTTAGTGCATATTCTCGGTTTGTTAGCTTAGATGCAGCTTATTCTGTTATTCATAGAATGAAAGAAGCTGGGATAAGTCCAAATGTCATTACTTACAATTCTTTGATGTCCGGGGCGACCCAGAATTGCTTATTGTCACGATCCCTGGATTTGTTTGAGGAAATGTTACTAGCAGGCATACATCCTAATTTATGGAGCTACAACATTCTGATGCATTGTTTCTTTAAATTAGGAAAACCTGATGAAGCCAACAGAGTATTTCAGGATATTTTACTTAGCAATCTTCCTCCCCACCCAGCTACGCTTAACATAATGATTAATGGCCTTTGTAACAATGGATACACTGATAATGCCCTTATGTTATATAGGAATTTGCGACGCCATGGATTTGTTCCCCAATTGGTGACATACAATATTCTTATCAACTGGCTATGCAAGACACGCAGATTGAGACAAGCAAGGAGAATTCTAAAGGAACTTGGGGACTCAGGCCATGAGCCAAATCTCATAACCTACACTACAGTTATGAAATGCTGCTTTAGGTCCAACAAGTATGACAAAGGGCTTGAGATTATGTCAGTTATGATGGGGTAAAGGGTATACTTTTGATGGCTATGCATACTGCACAGTCGTTGCTGCTTTCGTTAAGACTGGGAGGATAGAAGAGGCAAATGCTTGCATGGAACAGACAATAAGGAACGGCATTGAACTTGATTTAGTAGCTTACAACACCTTACTCAATATGTATTGTAGAGAAGGTAAGTTTGAAGCTGCCTATAAGCTGTTGGATGAAATGGAGAATGGAGGTCTGCTGTGTGACAAGTATACCCACACAATTATAATTGAGGATTGTGTAAGGCCGGTAATATTAGCGGGGCTCAAAAACATTTACATTATATGAAAATGATGGGCTTCCATGAAAACTTGGTTGCCCTCAACTGCATGATTGATGGCTTATGTAAAGCTGGTCAAATTGATCGTGCAATGGAATTGTACAAATCAATGGAGACTAAAGATTCATTTACCTACACCTCCTTGGTGCACAATCTTTGCAAGGCTGGAAGGTTTCGATTGGCATCCAAGCTTATGATGAAATGTTTAAGACATGGGAAGAAAATACCCAAGGCTACCCAACGGGCTGTCTTTGATGGTCTTTATAGTTCAGGGTTTACAGACGAAGCAAGGAAGCTTTGGTGGAAAATTCGAGTGGCTCGAATATTGCATTAGAAACCGGCTATGCTTTTGGTGCTGAAAATGACATAACCTAGAGAACTATCCTAGTTGGATTGGCATATTGGTCAGCACCATGAAAGAGCCCCCCTTTAGCCATATTATGTAACACAGTTTTTTTGGGCTGTTAAGCCTGCTCTACCAAGCAGAGATTATTAATATTGAAGTGTAATGTTGAATCTGAATGAAAGTTGACTAACTAGCCTGCAACTGCCTTGCATTGCTAGACTGAAAGTGGTTCTGCCTGTGTGTATGATGGGAAGACACTACTTGTAGTAAACAAACAACTTGCCATATTCATGTATGACTGGACAAGTCCAGAAACATTTTCTCAAAGTCAACTGTCAGCCACACTGGTTTCCTCAGTTGATGGGCCCAATGTGAGTTTCTGTTCTTATTCCAACTGATTTAATAGATTTCCCTTTTTCTATTTTGTGATAGTGTTAATGTATTTTCTTTGTGTCGTTAAACGAACTGATGCTCTTGGAATGTTACTGAAAGAACATCTGTTTTTTTTTCTCTTCATCTTTTTCATATTTTGGAAACAAATTTTGAAATCTATCTGTTACTTTTTGGCAGGGTAACTGGTTAGCATTATTAAGAACAGTTTGGATAAAACTCTGGACAACTACTCCTGAGAGGTAAACTTGTGTAATGCAGCCTACTTTTCAAGTGAGTATTTTGACATGAAATTTGGATAAATTGGTTTCTCAAATACATTCATGGTTGCACGAGAGAGAATGATAGAGCTTTCATCACCCAAAAGGGAAAAAGGACGGTTAACTTTACTTCCTAAAAGTTAAGGATTGCAAACTTGTGCATTTTCTATTTTAAAAACAATTCCGAGGAAATCCATGATTCTCTTTGCTATTTGTTGTTCTGTTCCTTAACTTAATACTGGAATGAGGTTTTGGCAATTCTTTTGGGGCAAGATCTGAGAGATAATGTTTTCAAATAATATTTTTTGAAAGAAAAGTATATCCAAAATTTTACCAAAAAAACGTTCATCGGTTACTTTATTTATTTATGTCTTCCTATATCTTCTCTCTACCAGACTGTCTTTTGTCAACTTATTCAACTGTGTTGATAGAGAAGTGTTAAATTCAAATAGTTGATGTTGTTCTTGTCATTTAAAAGAAGTTTATGTTTGATGGGTTTCTGTTATTGTGTATTTGTGTGCGTGCGTGCTTATACACTGCAGAAAGAGAAGGGCTGACTATATAAATAGTTTTCAAACAGATTGAAGCTGAGATGCGCTGATGCAAAGATAGAAGTTGGATAATGTTCACGGAGATTCAGATGTTAAGCTCAGAGGTTCAAACCACATGTGTTATTATCCAGATCCAGTGGTCCAAACCAAAAGTGGTCACAGGGTAGGTAGAAAGAAAAAAATTAAAAATAAAAAAGAGATGGAAATATGGATTGCTGTTTAGCAGAAGAAGCAGGGGTGCCCTTCTGTGGTATTCGTGATGTTTTTAGGTCGTCCGGTTGATTTATTTATTTATTTCATCATTAAAGTAAAAAGGTTTTTCGCAAGCTGCATTGGATGTTATCCTGATAACAATTATTGATGAAAAAAACTAAACCTTGAATGAAAATGCAAGAGAGGAGGGATTAGTATGACACTTCTCTTTATAATGTCTAGTATGAGACTTGTCTTTATATAGCAGAGTAAGGATTAGGATTCTTCGACATCGGATAAGATTAGAGTGAGTCAATTAGGAGCTGACTTGGACTTCTAGTAGCTCAGGCTTCTGTAGAGTCTATTCTATAATACTGAAGTTGGAACTTGCTCATCTTCTTGTTTGCCGTTCTGCTGCTGATGTTGGTTAGCTGGGCATCAAGCATCCTAATTGAAGATTCAATTTGCTGATATGGATTGCGTTTCAACCAGAACCCTGTCTACTACAGCCAAATAGTTTGCTCATGATTGAATTTAATTCTTTATTGTTATATGAACCCTCATTTGAAATTTGGCTGGCATATAGCGATCAGTTAGCGTACAGACTACCTAGTTTGTAGTCTGTATCGCTAGCTGATCCATTTTTCCTTTTGTTTTTAATTTTTTGCCCGTTTAATAAGAGATTGATTTGTATTTGAAACGAAAAACATTTTTTTCTCAGGTGTGACCTATTAGTTTCCAATATGGTCAGTGAAAGGTATCATATGCATTAACATTTATTTACTTCATACGATGGAAAAGGAAAATCAAATTCGTATCGAATTCTTAGAGTTTACATAATTAAATAGATACTTAGCACAATTCGTATCGAATTCTTAAACTAATAAAAAATTTACTTTTTAAATTATTTTAAAAAAATTAAACATATTAAAATAAAAATAAAAACCCCACCCAGATCTCTCTCTCTCTCTCCCGATTTCTTCCCCCTTCCTCCTAATTTCTACCCCCCAGTTTTCTACAAATGGACACAGGGGAAGGGATCAAGGAGTTTTGGTAAGAGGATGAACAAGACCCACACCCTCTGCGTGAGGTGTGGACGTCGCAGCTTCCACTTGCAGAAGAGTCGCTGCTCGGCTTGTGCTTTCTCTATGAATTCTTCTTTGCAAGAGACATCCCTGGGTTTAGTGATTTCTCCGGCAGCCTTGCTGGGATCTCCAGATCGAATAATTGGTTTACAAGACGCTCTTAGGGAGTCTTGTCTTTCTCGGATTCCAGCTTTTTTCTTTTCTTATAAAAAGCTTTGAAACAAAATGAGATGCACGATTAGCTTCAATTGAAAGAGCATCTTTCTCCTTCTCCAATAAAGCCATAGATAGATAAGATCAAAGCTAACAGAAAAACAGTAAGAAACATGCAGTCAAATGGATTGAAATCAATAATATTCTGCAAATTTCTAGGCAGCCACATGGATGAGCCGGTCTCTCCCTGTTGGCTCTGAACAGTCATGAGTGGTATACCTTTGAGGCAGTCACATGTATGTCTTCAAACCACTTTTATTAGACACATAATCTATCTCTATTGGTCATAATATGAATCTGGTAGATGATTTGTTGATGTTCTTTCCATTTTTGTTGGGATTTTTGAATACCCAGCAAATGAATTTTTCATTTTGACGATGATTTTCCAGGAAAATGTTTCCTTTTTATGATTTTTGCTTCTGGGTTTATTTTTATGGCTTTGTGTTGTATTTTTTCGGTATTAAAAATAAAATAGACAGCTGGATGTTAAGGCCATCCGAAGGAAAACCACTGGAACTGGAAGGATGAGGTATCTGCGCAATGTTCCTCGCAGATTCAAGAGTGGCTTCAGAGAAGAGGAAGCTAAAGAAGAAGGAAGTGAATCGGATCACCCTGTTGCTGTTGGTGAGGAAGCATGAACAAGGGGAAGGAATCTGGGGTGGGGGGAAGAAATCTGGGATTGAAGAAATTGGGCGGGGGGAAGAAATCTGTGGGGAAAGAAATTGGGAGGAAGGGGGAAGAAATCAGGAGAGAGAATTTGGTAGGGTTTTTAATTTTTTTTAATTTTTAATTTAATATGTTTAATTTTATAAAATAATTTAAAAAGTAAATTTTTTATTAATTTTTTGTCCATGTAGAACTCCACGTCAATTAAAAATAGGTTCCACAAATGCCACATCAACATTTAACAGATTTACTAATAGTTTAGTTAACGGAGGGGGCAAATTGTAAGGATTTCTGCGACGTTGAGTATGTACTAGTAAATGTCCTTAAAATCGAGCATGAACTCGTAAATGACTCTATAAATTGGGAAGTTTACTGTAGTTTGTCCTAAATTCAAACACTGAAATTATTAATTGAAATAAATTTACAATAACGCTACGGGCACCAACTTGTTTACCAACTTTTGGATACCAACACATGTGGCACATGACATGGCAACCCATGTCATCTGTTATCTCATCTATTTTAATTACATAATTTATTATATAAATAAAAGAATTTCTCACAGAAAACAAAAATAGTTAAATATAAAAAATAATTAAATTCTTTTATTTATATAATAAATTATGTAATTAAAATAGATGAGGTGGCAGATGACATGGGTTGCCATGTCATGTGCCACATGTATTGGTATCCAAGAGTTGGTAAACAAGTTGGTGCCCCTAGCGTTAAGAGATCTAAATTCCCTCGTTTTAGAATTCTATACAATTTTCAATTTTTTCGTAAACACTTTTATTTGAACGTTATAATTGGCAACATAACCAGTAGTTTTGTTTTTCAACCAAAAAACCAGTAGTTTTATTTTGTATTTTTTCCAAAGAAAAAATATGCCGTGGCTTAAAATCCAACCAAACTAATGTCACATTTATTTTGGGTCAAACTAATGTCGCATTTACTATGGATGCAATTTGGCATCCATCCAATATAACCTTTTTTAAGTTTGAAGAAAGGTCAGACGACGCACCTGGTCAACAGAGCACAAATAAAATACAATGGGTTTAGTTGGTCTTCACTACTATTACTATGTGTTAAAAACGCTGCTCCCAGAATTGGACGAAACCTACCATTCATTTATGCAACACCTAGTTTATAAACCCACCAGAACTCTCTCTGATCTTTTTAAAACCGTATGCATATGCAGGCATATAAATAGGACATTTCACTTTCCTTACCTCCAACTCCTTCTTCTTCTTCTTCTATGATCAGTTCATGCCATCCATTTTCGATAGTTTTTGTTGTTGTTGTTAATCTCCTTGAGACATGGAATTTGAATATTCGGAGCAACCCATGTTGAGCAAGACCCTTAAAATTCAATCCTCCTCTTCGTATGAGGATTGCAAGCGTTCTGAAATCTCATTCAGAGGTACACTGGAAGAGGTGGAGGAGGAGGAGGCCATGCCAAGGACCGAGTCCGAGGAGGTAAGGCTGTCTTGGCTCCGATCTCAAGTCATTGGCGCAGCTGCGGAATTCGATTCTCCGTTTGGGAAACGAAGACTCACTTATGCCGATCACACTGCCTCCGGACGCTCTCTTCTCTACATCGAAAACTTCATCCTCAACAATGTCCTCCCCTTTTACGGTATACTCTTCTTTCTTTTTGTCTTTTTCGATTCCAATATTGGCTAATATATTGCTAACCGCGTGTTTGAAATGATCTCAACTCAATAATTTCTCATAAGCTTGTTTTGAATAGAAGTTGTCCACTAATAGCTCTGCCCCCTAAGTCAACTTAATTAATTATTCAATGTTACATTTTACATGATTTCACTTAACGAAAAAGAGTAGGCTACTTAGTTAGTCTGCCGATCAATCTGATATTCGTATAGCCGCCTAACCTAATTACAATTCATCAATCTGTTATGCGTATAGCTGCCTAACCTAATTACAATTCATTTTATTGGTTTCAAATTCAATTTATTATATTTGTTCATTACAGGGAATACTCACACGTGTGACAGCTACGTTGGAAACCGGACTTCAAAAATGGTGCATGAGGCAGCCAAGTACATCAAAAATGCTTAGGGGGTGGACCAGAAGAGGCACTCTTGTTCTGCGGCCAAGGCACCACCTCAGCCATTAAAAGGCTCCAAGAGGTGATGGGCATTGCTGTGCCCTCAATCTTGAGAGACAGAGTTATAAATAATCTGAACACAGAAGAAAGGTGGCTGGTTTTTGTTGGGCCTTACGAGCACCATTCGAACCTCCTCTCATGGCGGCAAAGCTTGGCTGAAGTTGTTGAGATTGGTGTAAATGATGATGGTTTGCTGGACTTGGAGGCTCTTAGACTGCAACTTGAGAAATATAAATATGCCAACAGGCCAATTCTGGGTTCCTTCTCAGCTTGCAGCAACGTCACTGGGATTTACTCTGACACAAGAGCCATTGCTCGACTTATTCATCAATATGGGGGCTTTGCCTGCTTTGATTTTGCAGCAAGGTGTGTGCTACTTTCAATTAGTCGTCATTTTTTTTCTTCTTCTTTTCTCTATATATACGAGCGATAATATAAAAAGAAGAGGACACTAAAATTGGAAAACACCACCTCAATTTAGGATAGTGACTCTCAACCATTTGAGTTAAAGATCCCTTATTAAGTAATAGTCTAGAACAATACATTTATTTAGAATTTTGCGCACGTTAATCATTAATATATCGTGAATTAACAATTAGGAATGATCTACGTATGCATAGGTGCCAAATTTAATTATTAATATCAGATCTCATATGAATTTCATGGTAAAAAATAATCAACACATACGTGAACGGCCGACCTTAGCATATCTGATTTAGGTATGCGCATGACTACTGCTGCTTGAATTTTTTATTAATTAGTTAGGTATATACGTAGCTGTCTTTTATTGCGTACTCTGCTTGGTTAGTTGTTGTAGATGCACCTTGAATTAATTGAATTGAATTTTTAAATCTTTGTTGTTGTATAAATACAGTGGGCCATATGTGGAAATTGAGATGAGGTGTGGAGAGATGGATGGCTACGATGGTGTTTTCCTGAGCCCACACAAGTTTCTTGGTGGGCCAGGAAGCCCAGGCATCCTTATGATGAGTAAGGCTCTGTATCAGCTCGGATCTTTCCCTCCATCGACTTGCGGAGGCGGAACTGTTGCTTATGTCAATGGCTTCAGCGATAAGGTAGGCCTTCAAAAACTTTGGTGTTTTGTTCATCACCATGAATTGGACTCCCCTAATTGAATATCCTATATTATGCATATTTATCACATTTGGTGGGTCGAACTGGACTGAATTATTTCAGTTAAATTGAACAAGTAGCATGGATGATATTTGGTATAATAAGATTAAACTTATTAAATTGGATAACTGTCTAATATATTGTGTCTTACAATTCCTATCTTGAGAGGTAAAACTCATAAGGACTGATTTGTACTCAACTCCAATTCAATTTTAGTCGAGTCACTTCATAAAATATAAATACCATAATGCACCGATATTATAACAAGTTACAATGAAACTGTCACACTCATAAATATCTTTGCATAGAGGGATGATCTAGAGAAAACCGGACACCCATAAGTTTGACATTGGCTACCGAACCCAATACACCAAGATATATTCCTTCATTCATGACACAAACCAGCTAACATCTATGTCGGTACGATCAAAACTGGTCAACAAACCCAAGTGAAACACTTGAGGAAACAAATATGAATTCACATTAATTATGTCATTGTCACATCCCTACATGCTATAATGAAAAGAAGAGAATAAGGAACTCTAGAATAATATATAATAGATGGTGATAGCAAACAAATATCTTAATTAATTTTGTAATAAATATATGATCAATGCAGGACACTTTGTATTGGGAGGACATAGAAGAAAGGGAGAACGGTGGTACTCCTCAAATCATTCAGACAATTCGAGCAGCACTGGCTTTTTGGGTGAAGGAATACATTGGTTATCAAGTGATAGAAAAACATGAGGATTTCTATGTCAAAAGGGCACTAGAGAGGCTTCTTCCTAATAACAACATATGGGTTTTAGGAAATACAAGTGCCAAGAGACAAGCTATTTTCTCTTTCCTCATTTATTCCACCACCAATCGTCCGTCAACAGCTGGCACGAAAATAGAAGGTGGTGGAGAGGGTCCAAAGGAAGGGATTTACATGTGGAGGGAGACAGGAAATGGCAAAGGTAAGCCCCTTCATGGGGCCTTTGTTGCAGCTCTGCTCAATGATCTATTTGGTATTCAATCTAGAGGCGGGTGTGCTTGCGCTGGACCCTATGGTCACAATCTGCTCAAAATTGATGACACTCTTTCACATTACTATAGATCTGCCATTCTAAAGGTTCTAATCCCATTCATCTTCTTCCTTTCATACCACACTAAATTATGAAAAGAATCAATGTTGAACGCTTTGGGTAATGTTCTGTTGGCAAACTTGTGTTGATAGACTGTGAATTCAACTAAATATTATCGGTCAAAATAAATATAGATGAAATTCACAGTTTGGCAACGTAAGACAGTCTGACGAGAGAACATTTTCATTCTTTGTTCAATGTTTAACACATGGCAAAACAATAATTAAGCATGTATTCTAAATTCCTTTTTAATTGCAGGGCTATCTCGGAGTGAAACCTGGATGGACCAGAATCAGCTTTCCCTACTACATTTCAAACGACGAATTCGAGTTCATTTTAACTGCGTTGGAGTTTATAGCTATTTACGGACAACGGTTCCTTCCTCTGTATCACTTCAATTTGAGAAGCGGAAGCTGGACTTTCAAGAAGAAGGCGCATCAAGACCTACTTGACAATGCTATACAAGGAATGAACATCGGCCATGACCAATCTAAAGATGGCAACAATGCAGAGAAGCACGATCAATTCGCAAAATTTTCTGATTATTTGGAAACCGCTAAGCGCATAGCAAATCTCTTGCCCAAGTTTCCTCCTCAGCGTAGGCTTCCGGAAGACATAGACATCAACTTCTTACATTTCAGAGTCTAACTCCAATTCTTTTTGCCTCTGTTATTCTTTTGGACATGTAGAATATCTTTCTAATATGTGAGTTTGACAATTTCTCTTGTAAGTATGAAAAAAATGAGCACTCATAAGCATAGATGGATTGCTAAGATTTTAAATAAAAACAATGGTGGCATAACTTGTTGAGCCCTCACCTTTTTGTTTTGTGAATCCTTGAGAGATGCTGCGAATGCTGAGGTTTACAACATCAACCAAAAAAAATTCCATTCAAATAACCCCCTCACCCATTCACAATTTACATTTACAAATGGTGAGCTGTACAAAAAAACATAAAACAAATTTCATTCACTGAACCCTCCCTCAGGCATGCACAGCTTACATTTACAAATGGCCAGCAAAATTTTATAAAACTCATCATAGATTTTCAAATGGTTCTAGAAAAACAAAATAAGTACCTCTGACGAGACATCATATCTTTGAAGGAACAAACGGTGATCCATTTTGGAGACCCATCATCATAGAGTGCTAGAGTTAAGCTTCCATCAATGTTCCTAGAAAGAGAGAGAGAGAGTAAGATAACCAAAGGAGATAGAAACGAAAAACTTAGCTAATTGAGTGCAGAAAATCATGGAATTTTTCAAATGGGTTTACTGGCCTTTTTCCTTAACAGTTCCAAAGTATTTTCCTTTTCATACGGTTTTAGATTTTTAAGTTGTAAACTTATTGCAACCGGTGGGCTGAATCTTATGGCTGCAGTTTGCTCAACGCCCACAGACATCAGGTGAGCAGGCCTGTCTTTTTCTTTCCCTTAGATTTTCCTCTTTTTAGTTTTGTGCATAGCAAGCCTTGGAAATCTGTTCCCTATTTGCACACACTCAAGAACTCATCTCAAAGAAGCAATGAAAACACTGAAAAGGTCTAAACTCACATCCTAGGTAGTGATGAGGGGCAGAAAAAGGATTAGGATTAGAACAGGTTATGAGTTTGCTCCAATTAGAATGGGACAAGAAAAGGGAATAGACAAAGCAGAGAAAGAAAAACAATCAGTTCTCTAAGACATTAGTCAAATACAGGGTGAAGACAATAATGAATGCTAAACCAGCCAGTGCTTTTAAATAGTTCGAAAAATAACATAAAAATCTATTTAGACTTGATCGTACTATAAATAATTAATATACACATGATATTTCAAATGTCAGAGAAAAGGGAAGAGTAAATTACAAGAAACCCCTTCAGCTTTAGCCCTTATTTCAATTTAGTCCCTGAATTTTTAATTTAAGCATTTTCATCCTTAAACAATGAACTAGTGGCCAATGAATAACTATGTTACTAACATCCATTAGCTTGCCATCCAAATACATCACACATGAAAAATTGTAAACCACTGTTTGGATGCTTGGATAAGTCACCCGTGGGGCAGTCAATGTCAAAGACCCCTCTCACACACCCCTTGAAGTGTAAGTTAGAAGCCACCTTTCTTTTCTGCATTAGGAAATTCCACTGCCTCAAAGGTCTCTTTCTTCCTCTCTCCCTGTCAGAACCAGAGATATCATGAGGAAGGACCCTTGCACAAACACTATCTATGATGAGAGAGAGTGAGAGCCTTGACATTTAAAGTTTCATGGTAAGTTATACAATGGTTTCAAAATTTCTCACGTGTGATGCGTTTGGAATGAGAAATTAATGGATGTTAGTCACATGACGGCTGATATGAAACTAGTTTATAGTTTAAGGGTGACATGAGTTAAGTTAAAAGTTGAGGGACTTGCTGATACACAAGCCAAAGTTGAGGGAATTATGTGTAAATTACTGAAATGAAAAGCTTGGTTTGCACTATCCTTTCCACCATCACCCTTCATATCCAATAAAATAACAAGGGGAACGATTTTCACACTCCCCTTTTCTCCCCCACGCGCTCCTCCTTTTTTCTAGCCTTAAAACTGAATAAATCAAATGATAATCAAGGGGAAAAAACAAGGAGAGGAGTGCAGAAGGAGAAAGCGGGATTGTGAAAATCACTACCCAATACCAAACCTCGTATTAAATTATTACAATTAAAACGCAAACCATCCTTCCTAAATCAAATACAGGGAAAAACAAAAAGACACTAGCATGAAATACACCAATATTCTTTTCTTCACAAGATTGTAAATCCATATACAGCAAACACATATACACACCCAAAAAAAAAGGGAACATAAAAAGAAGAAAATTCATAATATGCAGACCAGGCTACACAGAATAGAAAAGGAAATTAGTAACCTTATTGCAAAATCCTTAATACATAATAGCAGGAATGGCAGCCTGACTCAAAACAAACTCCATTCTATTCCACATCTTCAAAGAGACATCAAAGCAAAGACCCCAAGTACTGATATCTCCCGACTTCATCCATGCTATTAGTTTTAGTAACCCAAAATACATAATGTGGAAGAACAGTGGAAGATACCTATGATTTAACAAATATTAAAGAAAAAGTTAATTTTCTCTGGAAATTGTAACTAGATGTGTCCGTAATAGGGAGTGCTCAAATAGGAAAATATCAAACTGCGTTTGCAAATGCCAGATAAGGACTTTGGAGACTTAGCCTAACACAGATGCATTAGTAAGAGTGCCAAAATGACATGCATGGTTTTGATCTCAATTAAGTCTTTGTGGCTAAAGTTCCATAGTACTTGCAAGGGTGCAATGCAAAAATGATGCTCATACATCATAGCAAAGACCATCCCTTAGTTTTAAGGTTCACAATAGATTCAGAATATCCTGAACAATGTACATTCTGACAACATAAGCATCTTAGTTGTCAGTCAGCCAGGCAAGACAACAATACCCTATATCATCTATACTTCGTATGTAAAATTGAAGGATAATTTCAAGTTCACATGATGTTAGAGTTGACATAGAAGATAATTAGAGAAATTTCACTCTAATTTCTCAGTTAAATCTTCCCTGCTGGCACTTACTTTGGAACACATCAAGTTGCAACATTTTATTGAATGTATTGACATTTCAATACACTATGTCCATTTTCTGTATATTAAAAATAAATAAAATATGTGACACATGCCTTAAGCATCCTTCAGGAGGTCATAATTAACATTCCTTTGGAAACCGTTTTGGAGTTGAAAATATACAAACTACAATCATGTATAACAAAAAAGCATACACAGGGTGATAAGATTTTCGTTTCTATTATTGGCCTAAGGGATTCTCATCATGTATAACAAAAAGTATACAAAGGTCAGGACTCAGGATCTAATAAAGGAATGCTGAAATGGAAAAAGAAAAAAAAATGTAAAGCTGATGATCGCATCAATAAATACTACCAACAATGGAATACACAATGCACTGATAATTCCTCATCATCCAATTTAAATCTCTTTCCTTTGTCCGTTTTGATAAAACTCTGTCACATTAATGAATTCCTTAATCTAACTACACAAACACAAACTTCATTTTTGTTTTCATTTTGTTTTTTTGTAAGGCAAAGACAGTTCATCCTTCCTAGAAAATTTTGTGTTACAAAAAACGAACAATCCAATTCAAGGCAACGGTTGACATACGTTGGCCAAAAATTCCACAGAACAGATATATGATTTACTGCCAATATCTTAGTACAGAATCAATATACACAAAATGTAAGGAAATTACCAGCGACCATCAAATTAAAACAACAAATTTGAAAAGTAATGAAGGGAAACACATACCAATATCTGATTTATGCGAGATAGAAGAGATCATCCGTCATAAGGAGAATGTATTGCAAAATCCTCAAAGGGGCATTACTAAAATCCAATGGGGGCAACCTCAACTCCCGAACCCTACATTCCCCAGCAGTGCAAGCCCTAACCCTGTTTGTATCGACCTTCCGAAACAGATACACCGATTTGCCACCGCAAACTCGCCTATGGCCCGAATCCGCTGATGGGTTTTCTTTAGTCTTGAAAAGGGTCCACCCCAGTCCGGCCAAAGCCCGAGAAAACCCTTCCATTGTGTCAATTCGGTCTCCGGTGAGCCGCGAAAACAGCGACATTGATGAGCAATTCCAATTGCTTTCACTAGTTGCCTCAGTGGCTTTACAATTGGAGCGCACAAATACCAGCTTGAACAGGCCTTTGGAGAGCTTGACAAAGGCGCGAAGATGGGAAATGGAGGCTGTGGAGAGAGAAGGGAAAGGGAGGGGAACAGTGTCGTCGGGCAAAGATGTTGATGAGAGTGATGACGATGACCATGAATATGTTGATGGTGATGTTGAAGATGGAGATGATGACGATGATGATGGCGGTGGTGGGTATGAGAGAATGATGTGGGAGAGAGATGGGGTTGGGTGCAAATCCATGCCCATGTCTCTGGCTATGGTGGCCAGTCTGTATGTGTCTGCGACAAGCTCTTTGGTTGGGAGGAAGAGGAGAAATGGGGTTCTCGATTTGCTGGTTTTGCTTCTTCCTTCTGTTGGTTTGTGATGACCATCTTTGGCATTAGAGTCAGCATCGTAGCCATCGTCATTGTTGTGGTGGGGATCTTCGTCATGTTGATTTTGGGGGAGAAGGAGAGGGTTGTTGTTGATGGTTTCTCCAAAGACTAGAGAGCGTACCAGCTTTAGCGGGAGCATCTTTCTTCACCTTTTCTCTCACTCTCTTTCCATCTAATTATTAAGCCCTCTTTCTTATCTTCGACAATCTGTCTTTGTTTTCTTTGCTTTGAGGAGGAAAACAGTAAATTTGGTTTTCCTACTCAAGAAAAATTAGCTCCGGCCGTAATATAGGGGAGGATGATTAGCTCAATCTCAGTATGTTATTGAGGGTCTTGTGTTGATTTTCATGATAAATACTTCGGGTCACTTATTGGAGATTCCTTCTCTCTCTTTATTGAGAGTCGAGATTCATTATTGTACGCTCACAAACTCCTGTTATTAATCAATGTGACAATGACCCATTGATATTTTAATCTTAAGTCAAGTCTCAAGTTGGGTTCAACTATACGACATTAACCTAAGATCCACGACGTACTCCTAAGGCAACCATAGTGCCTCACGTCTAAGGACTAATTTTGCATAATTGCAACTTATAAATCTTGTTTGACATGTCAGTAAAACTTCCATACAAGATTCTTAATTGATCGTGTTCAATGAACTCGCTCTCTAACAAACACTCATACACTTATCTTAGTGTCTTCTACACGAATGACTTAAGACCAGTCATCCTCCAAATTGAACAAATATAGTGTATACTAGTTTTTGCGGATCCTCAATGCCCAATTGAACAATCCTATGACTATGAACTATTTAGGGTGTGAGCTATAAGGAAAAGTCTCTTGGACCTAACTTCTTTAAATCCCTTTCATCATCTCACAAACCATCAACTTGTCTTCTAGGTAACTATTAAGGAGACCATTACCTAAATCGACCTAATTGCCCTTTTGATTTACCATAAAAGGCAGTGAAATATCCATAAATTTACGTCACATGTTTGGCTTTAGGGAATATTTCCAGCAAGGTTAGCTTATAAAAGACACATTTCTCATGTAATCCATCATCCTTTATAAAAGCCAAACTTCAGAGAGTTTGAGAAAAAGAAAGCCTCACTTGTATGTGAGAAGAATGGAGGACATTCTTTAAAGTATGGATTTGTATGAGCCTTTTCAATAGAAGACATAAGCTATAAGAGAATTTAGACGCCTCGTTGAATATTTTAAACAGAAAAGTTATCGGACAAACCCGAGAATGGGTCAAGCAAAGTGTCGTCCATCATGTGGCAGAAAAAACTAATGCTTATGTTATGGACGAAATTGGCGTCCATGTACAAGCGAAATACCACTCAAAATAAAGGCATGTTGATCCGACGATTGGTAAGCATCAAGTATAGAGATGGTCGAAGTGTTACTGAGCACTTGAGTGACTTTCAAGGCTTAATAAATTAGTTTACAAATATAGAGATGACACTTAGTGAAGAGTTACAAGCACTAGTGGTGCTCAACATATTATTTGATAGCTGAGATACACTGATTATGTTACTAAGCAATTCAGGTCCTTAGGCGTTTTTACATTGGACATAGCAAAAGATAGTATGTTCAATGAAGAAGCTAGGAGGAAAGAACAAGGTGTAGTTACCGAATTAGAAGCTCTTGTCTCATAATATTGTGTAAAGAGTAATAACATAGAATTCAACAATTGAGTCAAGTCAAGAGGCAAGTCAATAGATGACTCAAGGGGCAGGTCCAAAACAAGAAGGGACCTAAAATGCTACCATTATGGCTAGCCATGCCACATAAAGAGGGAGTGCATACAACTTAGACAAGAGAAAGGAACATAAGGTTATAAGAGAAGTGAAACCAAGGAAACAACCGCAATTACTTTTGGTGAAATGAGGGTATCATTATATCCAATGATGACTTCATTAATCTAACCTCTGAGGACACATGTTGGATAGTTGATTCTGGTGCATCCTTATATGTAACATCACAAAGAGACTTCTTTACATCCTACACCAATGAATATTTTGGTAACGTAAGGATGGGAAATGTCAATCTCACTTCGTGCAAGAGCATCTTCTAAGATCGTCCAATGAAGAACGGTGTAGCACTTTTTCATGGCTTTCATGCAACCCTAAAAGCCCTAATCCAAGTAAGCTGACCTGAAGGCCTTGAACTCCTCAGAATACTTGAACTCTTCAATCACCTTCTCATTTGTTGACCTTAACTGTGCGACCTTATCAATAAGCTTAGTCACTTGCTCTTGAATCACCTCAACATCTTTAGCATGCTTGTTAGCTATGCAGTTTAGCTCAAACTTGGCATCACCAACTTTCTCTTTCTCGAGGTCAACCACTAATCTTCGCTTGGCGATTAGAAGGTCACTCTCATCATTTTTCTTCTCTAGTTCCTTTACCAATACCAAGGGTTTCTAACTAAGCTTGATATTGAAGCCAAGTTACAGAAATTTAAATTAAAAAATAAAAAATAAAAAACTAGAAGTAAGCATTAATCCACGAAGGAAAACAAAATAGTCTTACCTCCAATGTGGCTTGCAAAGCCATGTCCATCCTTCCACAAGTGGACTTCCCCTTAAATCCTTCTTGTTTGATATCCCTAATACTAGTCTGACATGTCTCAAAGAACAAGTTGCAAGTTAGGTTGATCCTCAAACCTAGAGGGTTAGCTAGTTGCTTGTTGCATGTCACTCTCCTCCACCTTTTGCTTCTTGGAGTCGAGTTTCACCTTCATGGTATCCACACTTCTATCTTTCTCCATGGAATCGTCACTATTAATTACAATGGTTTGTTGTGAAGAATGTGTGGAGGGGATGGGAAAAGGGAGTAACTTGGAGGAGACAAAGGTCACCATCCACCAATGTTGAGGAATATACTCCCAACATCACCTCTTATTTGTTCAATTCTTCTTTATTCATCAACAACCCTTTTCAAGGACGTAGTGACTTTGAAGCCTAGATTTCTCGACCTCTTGTGTGGTGACATCATCCCTACAACACAAATCAAGTTTACACTCACACAAAAAACAAACTTCTATAAAGTAAAAGAGCCTTACCTCTATTCCTTGGAGGTGGAGGACCAAGCTCTTGACTCCTGGTTTAAGTGATCATTTTTTTGTTGGACCTCTTGAACTTGCTCTTCTCATCTTGAAGGTTTAAAATCTCTAACTTCCCCCTTAGAATTGTAGGTCTTGCCCATCTATTTGCAAAATCACATATAACAACATGTATTAGTACATTGACCAACCATACCAAGGTGAATACAACACCAAATGCTAACCTAAATTGCAAATGCCCGCCTATTAAATTCAAAACTATGACTAGATTTCTTAAATACCCTTTTTGTTGTTGCAAGGGCTTTAGTTCTACTCCCTTCAGACTTGTTAATGGCATTGTTCATGGTGGGTTCTAGTTACCTTTATCAGAAGTAAGGCTAACTATGTGATGATACATTTGAGGTAAAACTAATTGTAGTTAATAGTTTCATTACTTATGGTTGAAAGGTTTAGTAAGAAAATATTTAAATCCTGGGTTCCTAAAACCTTAAGTCTAGTTAATAGTTTCATTTCCTTTATGTTTTATTAATACTAATTAGACTATTGACATATTTTCTTTACAATCTTCATACCATATTGCTTCTACCCAATGACTATTACTTGTTTGAATGAGTTAACAAAGTTTGTTTTGACGTTATGCTTGCTATGATAAAATAGATGTAAAAGGCCATATAAAATTGTACCATATGTTATTTGAATACTTTTCACGTTTTGAATTTGGTACCGTAACTATGGAACTATCTAGCTAGTAGTTGCATTTCGCTTATGTAAACACTTCACACTTATTAGGTTATAGTTGATGATAGGATCAGTGACCTTCTGTAAAATACTTGATAAAATACATGATCACGTTTTATGTATCTCATTTGCATATTTCTGCATTTTCGTTAACAATAACATCGTATGTAAAAAATCATTTTGAAGATAAATAGATTATGAATAAATTTTTGTTAAGTAAAAGTTGACTCGCATATAAAGCTTAGGGGTTAAAGAACCAGATCTTTGCAATCCATGCACTTTGAGGTTCTAGTTATAGGAGAATTTAGGGTTTAGGGTTATAGGAATGAAATAAAGAGTTTCGGAAAGAGATAAGTCTTAGTAAATGGATGTTTGTTCGTGATTGAAAGTATTCATTTTTCTTTTCTTTTTTTTATTAATATTGACTCGAGTATATGTGCTTTACCTTGTTTTCTTAACATGTTGATACCATTTTGCTTCTTGTTGCTAACTAATTTCACTTTTATATAAGTGATACTTGATATATTCATTAACCTTCTTTGGTAACTTCGATGTCAAATTGTGTCTTACATCTCGGTAAATGATAAGGTGTCCACAAGCCACTTGTCGACAAGGTGGAAAGGCTTTTGGACACATATTTCTGCTAACGACTACTTTGCTGCATTTGAATCAACCTTTAGAAGATGCGTAAAACAACTTTGCATACAACTTATTCTTTACTTAGCTTCAAGTTGAGATGTTGGAAGTATACGACGTGCCACGACTTGGAGGAGTACATCCATAAAGCCCTTTAAAAAGGATGATTGTCATAGAGATCTCGGTTGCAACTCACGGGGATTTAAAATTCACACCCTTGTTGTAGGTGTTCCAAAGCATATACCTGAAGGTGTTGAAAATAGGTTGAGCGCTTATAATCAATATCCCTCTCGATACAAGCACATGATTGCATAAAATACATGTGGACATTTCCCCGCCAGTACAATCATTCATACTCGGCTTTTACCGTATGTGTCCAATGCTTCAAGACTTGCGAATCGAAGGGAGGATTGTTAAACTTCCGCAAAGGAACCAAACTTTCTTAGTAATTTATGTTAGCCTCAACAAGCTAGTAATCAAACTTATTCTTCATTCTCAGCAACTTTATAAAGGAGGAGATCTTCATAATGGATGAGATGTCTACCAGGTTGCTATGAATATGTATAAATTTTGTATTGATTCACCAAGACTAGAATTTATTGAAATTGAAGACTCTGTTTGTGACTTTCAAGATCAATGAGCTACCCTTCCTTGAAGAAGCCTGATTTAGTAGTGGATTTTTCCAAGAGAAAGAGTTGCTTGGTGAAATAAAACTTTGGGATCTTTCACAAAGAGTATTTTCTACTATTGCTAGGGTGGCACCACATGCTAAGTCGATATTTTTGAGAGATGGATGTTGTGAGGTAAAATACTCACAAATTTCTACTATTATTATATTTAAGCAAAGTTTATGTTGATAAACATCCTCTAACATGACCAGCTAAGCCTTATCGGTCTTCATTATTATCTCTTGTACCTACTCACTAGAAGGGAGTATACACTCGAGCACTAGAACCCATTTCACCCTCCCTCAACTCCCAATATCTAGAGGCATATTTTTTCTTCCAATATTTTTTTTAAAGGTTGTTAGTTTTCAAAGCACCATTGATGCGAAAGCATAAATAATCCACCATTCGTGTTGCCCGAATAATTTTTTTCAAACAATATTGGTTTTGCAAATTGAGCAAATGTTGGCCCACCAATCTCCAACTGGTTCCACAATATGTAATACTAATATATACATTGGGATTAATTTGCATGGGAGCTAGCCCAAAATCTTAAGTAAATTATGAACATATGTATGGGTGAAGTGGTGATGCAAATCCACACTCAACCAAGAGTGTATCAAGACCAATCCTTCTAGGCCACCTTTACCGGCATCACTTCATCTTCCATATCTACCTCATCATCGACTAGACCACCCTCACCTCCCACTAATTCAGCCTCTTCATTTTCATCATCTACCTTTATTTCATCTCTTAGCTCCCAATCCCCCACCTCAAACATGAACTTTCCTATGTAGACATCTATTAAGTATGTCACATACACTAGATTGTGTCTCGGAATGGTTACTTACCTAACTCAATCAGCAAACTTGCTTTCCTTCGGACTACAACTTTACTAATGACTCGAGATGAGATCCTCAACTTTTAGTTCGCAACGGATCTGCAAAAATAATAAAGTGGGCAATCAACCATTTGAAGAGTGTTGGAGTCCAAGAAATAAATAACATATCTGACAAAGAAATGAAAGAGAAGTGTGGCTATTTGATTACCTTTTATTTTGACTTTTAACTAAGAACAAAGTGTTGACAACAACGAAGTAGCAAGAATGTTCACACCTCATGAGAAATCAACTTAAGTATATTGTCATCTTAAAAGCACCACACATGGGATATCAAGCTTCGCAACACACAAAAATGGTTCTTACAATAGTATTGGCTCTTCAAATCGATATTCTTATTCAACTCATTGAAGCAACACATGTTCAATCAACTAATGCAACCATTGGAATGACTTAAGCATCGAAGGATCTTTGGCCAACACCCAAGCATGGACCTAGGATTCAAAAATGACTAGGGCTAACATTTAGGCCAAGTTTTCCAATCGGAAAGTTTCCATTGAAATTTTCGGCATAGTCTACTTGGTTTTTTCCCAATGTTTATATAACAATTAAGCACTTCTATTATTTACTTCTACATGTTCAGCTACTTAAGTGATACCCTACGAGTCTTCAAAGCATTAAATTCATTGATTAGCGAATCTATATCTACATTATCAGGTGGTATACACACAACGATTGGGAAACTAGATGGGCTTTGATATATAAGGCTGGGCTAGGATGGGGGTACTTGGGGAGACTTTTCACAAATTTGGGTCAAGCTCCAGGCCAACCCAGACTGGTTGGGATCATGCCTTCCAACACCACACTGATGTGACCCCAGTAAGGTCTTCTTTTTTGTAGGTTCGAAAGGACGACTTGGTTGGTGACACACTACATGCCAACTAAATGCAAAATAGCCTTTTTTTTTAATTCTAATTGAACGACACCCACCGTGAGGTTATTGAAGCATAAGGATGAATATCACTCAGCTGACTAACCACATATTAGGTGTAACAGGGGTGAAAAACGCCTTTAATTTCTCGACCCTTGTCTGGCACTTAGACTCCTCCTAAGTCAGCCTTCTCTTCACCTCCAAACCCGCGAGGCTTCAGAGTACACACAGCGGGATAACGACACAAGTGACAACCAATGCACACAAGTGAGACTTGCCTCACGCAGGAAACTCTCACACACACACTTACAGGAAAGTTCCCAACCTTCTATTCACAACAGCAAATGATTACAAGTTTTCACTTTCAGTTGGATTACCACATCACTTGGTCCTCTCAACCACACACCTTCACAAGGTATTTATAAGCCTACACTATGTAGATGACACCCCCATCTACGTAGGAAACCTTGCCAACCGTTAGATTAGCCACCTAGCCACATTTTTCTCACTCAAAAACCTATCTAGCAACCACAAGACGCCACCTTGCAGTTCACTCACATCATGGGCAGATTTTCCTCCTTAAAAATCTCTCCACTTCCTTGGAACATGTTGCCACTATCAAGTAACCGCCCACTAATGCTCCAAGATAAGCCACAATCCGAATTTCAAGCATGTAGCAACTCCTAGCCACGTCCAACCACCCATGAATTGCTCAAAACCGTTTTGCCCACATCCTAGACCCACTCCAGCACGTCTCTAGCCAAACTGCCATGTTCGGCCATGTCCAGCACAATCTGCCCACGTTCAGCACAACCTACCCACGTGCGCTGCGCAATTTGCCTTGCGCATTGCGCGCTGCCTTGCGCTGTGCTGCGCTGCGCAGCTTGCCTAACGCACTGCACATGTCTGCCTTGTGCGCTGCGCTGCCTTCCTTGCGCATGCCTTGCGCGCTGCACTGCGCATGTCTACCTTGCGCTACGCTGCTGCCATGTCTTGGCTGCCAACTCCCAGCCCAAAACACATGTCTTTCGACCTTGTCTTGCTTCACGAGTGCACCTCCCACGCACCCTTGGCTTGCCTTGGCATGGTGCAAAACATCAAAACCATGCCATGGCCTATGCCAACTTGTAAGGGTCTTACAAACCACCCCCACCACAAGAGCCCAACGCCCTCATCGGCTCAAATTCTTGGCGGTCTTTGTTCCTCTGAACTTGACTTGGGCTTGCTTGAACCACTTCAGCATTGCTCTCTTCCATGGACTCGTCATTACTTGACTCAATTAGGATCACCTCTACCTCGGACTCTTCCATAGGCTCATCCTCATCGTCACTTGAGATTACAATGATACCGGCCATGGACTCCACCCAAGGCTCACTTTCCTCCATTGGCTCATCCTTAGCCTCGGAGATTTCATTCCTTTTTTCAAACATAGCATTTCTCAGAATGCTATCGACGGCTGAGCTCTCCCATGGCTCCTCTTCTGACTCACTTTTTGAAAGGTTTGAATCAGAAGAATCAGATTGGGCTCCATCTATCATCAACTCATCTGTCTGCTCCACGAAGTCTCTATGCCTTGTGGTCATGTACACTAACTCGAAATCAAACTCGTCAAGCACACTTAAGTAAATGCCAAAATCGTCTCGAATGTTACCTGTACAATACATGTGACTGTGCAACACACAAGTCCTCGCCACAAACTTCCTATCCAGTGGATAGATCCTCCAAGTATCTAGACAATGTGCTAACGCTGCAAGCTGCATCTCTTCCAACCCACAATCTAGATCCCAATTCGGAACCATGTCTTCAATGGCCTCTATCAGCATACCTCCATGCAACAGAGAATCATCAATGAAAACTTCTTAGGGCTCCATGGCAAACACATCCACGAATACCTCAATCACCTCCAACACCGGTTGCACAATAGCATCCTCTCCCAAAGGATCTTCCGGTGAGATCACTCTTAGTGAATTCAACAAAACCATTGGACTCACCTGGAGACTGCTGCCCTCTTCAGCACCTCCATTTCCCTTCACAACAACTGCATTCAAGTTCTGCTTCCTTGGACTGTCTTTCACACGGTGAGGCCCTTGGCAAAGAAAGCAACCCGAGAACGTCTTCTTGTCCTTGCTTTCCACACTCTTGGCACCATCTTGAACAACCTTGGCTTCCTTTCCCTTGTCAGCCCCTTTGGTTTCCAAATGTCTCTTCCCACCTTGCTCTTTCATCCCACTGGAAGTGACTACTGCTCTGTAGTCCATCAGTCTTTCTGCTGCAGCAATGGCAGAGTTGAGGCTCCTAACATCTTGTCTCCTCAATTCCGACTGTGCCCAAGGCTACAAATTTGTGAGAAAGTTGAACAACTTGTCTTCCTCATACATGTTAGACACATTGAGCATCAAAGAACAAAAAGCCTTCACATAGTCCTTCACCGAACCTACTTGCTTCAAATTCTTCAAAGCTTCCCTTGCAAGCCATGCAACATTGCACGAAAGGAACTGGGCTCTCAATTCCTTCTTCAGCACCACCCACTCTTCAATAGTAGATCTGCCCCCACTTGCCACTTCTTGTGCACGAGTTCTCCACCACAACTTAGCATCACCTGCCAAGTACATGCTCGTGACCCTCTCAGCATCCGGAACTTTAGCAGCTTTCAAATACTGCTCCATATCCCACAAGAAATTCTCCAACTCTTTGGAGCTTCGTTTGCCAACATAAGCCTTTGGTCTAGGCACCTTTATCTTGGTCGTCATTGAACCCTCATGACTCGAAGCACTGCCACTCACAACAAGCTTCACCACGCTCAATTCTGTCTCCACCTCCTTGAGCTTTCCATCGACGGCCTCCGCTAAGCCATCCATATCACCTAGACAATCGGTGACTTTCCTCTCCATCGAAGCTTTCAATTCTTCGAGGATTTTCTCGATCTCTGCTATCTTGGCATTGAGATATTCCATCTGGGCAACCATACTCTCAGCTTCATCTCCAGACACGGTACTAAGGAAATTCTCTATCCTTGACACTCTCTCCTTCAAGGAATCACTACCTCCAGCCATCCCTGCGAAACTTCAAGACTATTTCTTGCTCAAAAATTGCCACACACGGATCCCATGGGACAATCCGCAATTCGAACACTATTCGAACTCCACTCGAATACACCAGAAACGTGACTAAGCACGCTCTGATACCATCTGTAACAGGGGTGAAAAACGCCTTTAATTTCTCAACCCTTGTCCGGCACTTAGACTCCTCCTAAGTTAGCCTTCTCTTCACCTCCAAACCCGCGAGGCTTCAGAGTACACACAGCGGGATAATGACACAAGTGACAACCAACGCACACAAGTAAGACTTGCCTCACGCAGGAAACTCTCACACACACACTTACAGGAAAATTCCCAACCTTCTATTCACAATAGCAAAGGATTACAAGTTTTCACTTTCAGTTGGATTACCACATCACTTGGTCCTCTCAACCACACAACTTCACAAGGTATTTATAAGCCTACACTATGTAGATGACACCCCCATCTACGTAGGAAACCTTGCCAACCGTTAGATTAGCCACCTAGCCACTCACGTCATGGGCAGATTTTCCTCCTTAAAAATCTCCCCACTTCCTTGGAACATGCTGCCACTATCAAGTAACCGCCCACTAATGCTCCTAGATAAGCCACAATCCGAATTTCAAGCATGCAGCAATTCCTAGCCACGTCCAACCACCCATGGACTGCTCAAAACCGTTTTGCCCACGTCCTACACCCACTTCAACACGTCTCTAGCCAAACTGCCATGTTCAGCCATGTCCAACACAATCTACCCACGTTCAGCACAACCTGCCCATGTGCGCTACGCAATTCGCCCATGTGATCTTATTAATAATAGGATCCCTTTAATAATCCAATTCTCTCTTCTGCCCTCAAGTTCCAACGACTATAGCAAGTGGTGGTGGTAGGTCATGCTCATGTTGTTGTAACGGCTTTGTGTGAGCAAATTTCCCCACAAGAATATTCGATTGGAAAGATTCCCCTTCTTTCTCCATCGTCTCTTTGTCCCTGCAAAATAGAACAAATAAGAGGGCCACAGCCGGGGGGTGTTGGCCAAAGGCCCTCTGATGCCTAAATTAGTTCAAGAGTTTGTAACAAAAACACTAGCCAATCTAGGGTACGGAGATGTGTTTTAGGTGTAAACCGGGCGGCTGGAGCCTTATGTAAAAGAGAGAGAGAAAGGAGGTAGCTAGGGTTTGAGAGGAATTTTCTGCAGAGTTTCAGTAGAGATTTTAGACGTACCTCAATCCTTGTGTGTGGCTATGCTTTTATAGTGGTCTTGGAGGCTAGGGTTTTAGAGGAATAATTCCGTAGATGGAAGGGAATTATTCCTCCCCTTTTTGGAATTGATTTGATTAATTAGGGATTTGATTTATTAGGGTAAATCAAATCCCTAATTGTGGTAGGTATCAAATCAAATCCTAATTCAATTAGGTAACTCCTCATTTAATTGGGAATCGTGGTAATTAATCAAATCAATTCTCAACCCAATTAGGTAACGTTCAATTTAATTGGGTAATCCCCAATTAAATTGAGTAACTCCCAATTAGATTGATTGATTCCCAATTAGATAATATAATCCCCAAATGGAATGAATCATTTGACCTAGGGTTTTGATTTAATTTGGTTACCACAAATGCCCCCCCCAGCTTTTGCATGGCGCGTGGTGGCATGTAGGAGATGTGAATTATCCGTTGGGTTGTCCAACTGCAATTGGGCTTCCTTTGCGGACCTGGGCCCCCGAATAGAGGAGGTGTTTGACTTGCCAATTTTATGAACTCCCAAGTTGGAAAGGGTTGGCGATTCCTTGTAGGTCAAGGAATTTTGATCCTTATAAATGTAGGGCTCCTCCAATTTATTCTTCACATCAAAACTCCAATCTTCCGATTTCATTAGTGAGTGAAAGAAAACTTTGGAGAATTGTTCCAGCTTGCTTGAGACTTTGTCCTTGCCGCACATCCAAGGTAACTAGAGCCTGGAAATTATTATTCTTTTTTTGTCTCTGACTTCAGGAAACTTGGAACATGCCTTCTAGTCGACGAGGGGAGCTGCAAGGGGTGCGTGATTTTGCCTTGAAGCATGGCTGGAGACGTTGGGAGGTTGGCAGGCTTGTAGCTGCACGTTTTGGGCTCAAGCATGGAGGTCTGGAGGCTAGTGGACTCGAGCAGATGTGCGTTGGGCTTTGAACTGGAGGTCTGGAGGGTTCGGGCTAGGAACTGGAGCAAGGAGGCACTGGTTTCAGAGAAGGCTCGACGTTGGCCTTGCGCATGCAGGCGCTAGAGCGGGCCAGAAGGTCAAGGCGGGCCTCATATACTGCACGGGCCTGTGGTGTGATGAAGTTGAGTCGGTGGGCCTGGCAAACGCATGCTGGGCTAGAGGCGCGAGCTGCGCCGCGACTGATGCTGGGCTGCGCGCTGGTGCAGCTGCTGGGCTGACTCCCTCCGACTTGGGCTAATCTGAGCAGCTCAATTTTTATTTTTATTTTTATTTTTTGCTGCTGCTGTTGTTGTTGTTGTTGTTGTTTGTTTGTTTGTTTGTTTTTTTTTTTTTCCTGGTATTCTAATTTGCAGCTACTCGTTAACCAACCATGTCTTCTAGGGATGATAGCAAGGCTCTAAGCTTCGAGGCACCTTTGTATTTATGGGGAGGCTCCTTAGTGCCCAGTAAGAGGTTCGTGGCCAACCTACACCGTGTCACGTCCAATGCTTAGTTCCAGAAGTGGCGAGCTGCTTTCGAGTCTGCCATTCTAGATGACGTGCAGGTCAAGCTACTGAAGTCTCAGACTGATAACAAGCCTCTGGTGGATGTGAATGATCGTGGCGCTAGGATCATTACCTTTCGTCCTTTTTATTTCTCCTTGGGCTTCAAATTCCCGTTGTCGAAGCTTTTCAAGGAGGTGTTCTACGCCATGGAGTGTGCTCCGAGCCAGTGTACTCCCAATGTTTACCGAGCGATCATGTGCTTCGAGAATCTGAGCCGTTTCTTCACGTTGGAGCTGACGGTGCGAGAGTTCTTTTATTTTTTCGAAGTGAGGCACTTCGAGCGGTATGCCCAAGTTCGCGTCTACAAGACTAAGCTGTTCGATGGTCTTATGCTTGGCATGACGACATGTTGGAAGTCAGCGGACGGTGGGAGGGCGACATTGGTGACGGCCCACTTGTTCCCACCACCTATTGCTATGGTATGTCCTTTTGCGATTTTTGATATGCTCCTTTTTATTTGAATTTCTTGAAGTGTGGCTGACTAACTTCTGTCTTTTGCTTATAGTGAGCGACATCAGCAAGCAATTGGAGCTTGGACCGGACATGGCTAAGGTCCGCTGTGCTTTGAACATCCCTCTAAAGTTTCGCAAGTGACGCTGGCTGTTGAGCGAGTACCGAGAGGTAGACGGTGGTCTGCCCCTTGCCGAGGATGTTGAAAGGTGGAAGCAGAATGGCCCTGATGGGCAACTGTATGACTATCTGCCCCCCTTAGGGAACGGATAGGAACCTGGATACCTCCCTTAGGAAATTCCTGGCGCACCCGGCGTTTCCCTTAGGACGCTTTTCATGGGCTCCGTCTCCCGAAGGACGTTTCTGGTCGTCGCCCTGCGTCTCCCTTAGGACGCTGCTTATGGACAACTGTTGTGTTTTGTAGGCAGATAAGACATTTTGGAATGAGAAACTGAACTTATATTGGTATTCATAAGATTACGGTCCTTTATTCAAAAATGAAAATAACTGAGTACAAAAACTTGGAACTTCTAGCAGTCATGAGGAAGCATTATAGATAATACTTCCGGAGATGGTGAGCATTCCATTGTCGTGGTATTTGCTTCCTATCCATGGTGTCCAATGTGTAGCTTCATCTGCCCCTGGACCTGCTGATTACATAAGGGCCCTCCCAGTTGGGATTCATCTTTTTTGACCCCTGTTTTGGTGCGGTGATGAAAGCCTTTCTTAGCACGAGGTTGCCTGGTTGGAATTGTCTGACCTTAGCTCTTTTGTCGTAGTAAGACTTCAACTGCTGCTAGTAGGAGGCGACTCGGATAATGGTCTTCTCACGTTCGCCCTCAAGTAGGTCAAGGTTGAGCCTCATCTGCTCGGAGTTCTGATCAACACTGCCTACTTCAAGGCTTATCGAGGGGACTATGATGTGAGGATGGATGATCGCTTCCGTCCCATAGGCGAGGGAGAATGGGGTTTCACCAGTCAACCTTCGTTTGGTGGTGCTATAAGTCCATAGTACTCCGGGGAGTTCGTCCACCCATTTCCCTTCGGCGCCTTCCAGTCTTTTCTTCAAGCAGACCAATATGACTTTGTTGGATGCCTCGGCCTGCCCGTTTCCATGTGGATACCTCGGAGTAGACAGGTGTTGCTTGATCTTGTATTTCGCAAAGAAGGCGGTAATCTGCTTGCCAATGAACTGTGAGCCATTGTCAGTGACTAGCGACTGTGGGCAGCCAAATCAGCAGATGATGTTTCTCCAGATGAATCGCTCCACATCGGCTTCTTTAGTAAAGGATAGAGCTTCAGCCTCGATCAATTTAGTAAAATAGTCGGTGGTGACGATCATCATTTCTTTCTTGGCAGGTGCCGGTGGCAAGGGACCCACTAAGTCAATGGCCCATTGCATGAATGGCCATGGACTGTTTTGCGGATGGTAAACTTCGGCAGGCAGATTAGGGATCGGCTTGTATCGCTGGCAACGATCACAGTTTTTGACATATTCAATGGAGTCGTGGCGCATGGTAAGCCAGAAGTAACCTATGTTTAAAGCCTTCTAGGCGAGTGACCTGTCCCCATAGTGGTTGCCACACTCACCGTCGTGGATTTTGCAAAGAACCTCAAGTGTTTGAGGGTACTTTATGCAGGTAAGATGAGGGCCGACGTATGATCTGCGGATGAGCTTGTCGCAGTGCATGTAATATCTCGCGGCCCTCTGCTGGACCTTCCTAACTTCGGACTTATCCGTTGGCAAGTTTCCATTCACTAAGTAGTTGATGATGGGGTCTTGCCAGCTGGGGTCCTCGTCAATTTGCATTGTGTCGATTGGCTCTATTTCTTCAATACTTGGTCGGTCGAGGTGTTCGACGGAGATTGAGCGTCTGAATTAGGTATCCAGCGCTGACCCTAGGCTGTCTAGTGCGTCTGCATGCGCGTTCTCTGCCCGGGGTACTTGTTGGATGATGAAGGTAGGAAACGCCTTCAATAGCTCTTGGACTTTGTCAAGGTACACGATCATCTTTGGGTGCTTCGCCATGTATTCACCTGAGGCTTGATTCATGATCAACTGGGAATCTGAGTAGATGGCTAGCTTCTTGATTGCGAGTTCCTTTGCCAAGCACAGGCCAGCGAGTAATGCCTCGTATTCTGCCTCGTTGTTTGAGGCCGGAAAGCCAAGCATGATAGCTTGCTTTAACAAGGTTCCATCCGGGGTGATGATGACGACACCTACTCCAGCTCCCTTTTGGTTCGACGCTCCGTCTACGCGCAACTGCCACATGTCTCTGGGTTAGCTAGGTTCGGCGGAGGTTACGTCTGCTTTCAACTTTCCTTCTTTTTGTTGACCAGCTTCTCTTCTTTGGCTAATGGGGTGAATTTTGCGATGAAGTCTGCTAAAGCCTGGGCTTTTATTGCAGCTTTTGGCCGGTAGAGGAGGTCATATTGGCTTAGCTTTATAGCCCAGTTCATGAGTCGCTGAGAAGCGTTAGGGCTGTGGAGGATTGATCTCAAAGGAAAGTCGGTCATGACGATGACTCGGTGAGCTTGGTAATAGGGTCGCAGCTTTCTCACGGGAACTACAAGGGCCAAAATAAGCTTATCCAATTTCGGGTAGCGACTTTCTGCATCGAGAAGAGCTTTTGACTTGTAGAATACCGGATATTGGGCCCCCAGCTCTTCTCGGATGAGAGCTGAGCTGACGGCTAAGTTGGACACTACCACGTACACGAACAAATCTTCACCATGAACGGGCTTTGAGAGCAAGGGAGGTGAAGTGAGGTAAGTCTTCAGATTCTGGAAAGCTACTTCGCCCTCTTCATCCCATTTGTCTCTTTGTCCTTTCTTCAGAGCTTTGAAGAATGGTCTGCACTTGTCGGTAGATCTCGAGAGAAATCGGTTGAGGGCCGCTACTCTGCCCGTCAGACTTTGTATTTCCTTCACTGTGAAAGGCGACTTCATCTCGAGAATGACTTTGATTTGATGTGGTTGTGCCTCTATACCTCTTTGTGTGACTAAGTATCCCAAGAATCCGCCGGAGGATACACCAAACGTGCATTTACTTGGATTCAACTTCATGCGATACTGGCGGAGCAGGCTGAATGCGTCGGCGAGGTTTTTGAGGTGATCTGCATGTTCTGGGGCCTTGACCAGCATGTCATCCACGTATACCTCCATAGTTTTGTTGATCTGCTCTTTGAAAATTTTATTCACAAGCCTTTGATAGGTTGCTCTGGCGTTCTTCAGCCCAAAGGGCATGACCTAGTAGTAGGTCCCTCTCTCGTGCATCAAGATTTGGTTATAGCCGGAATAAGCGTCCATGAAGTTGAGCAGCTGATTGCCAGAAGTGGAATCCATGAGTTGGTCGATTATCGGCAATTGGAAGTTGTCCTTTGGGCATGCTTTGTTGAGGTCTGTGTAATCGATGCAGACTCTCCACTTTCCCTTCTCTTGTTTTGCCACCAAAACAATGTTGGCAAGCCACTCTGAGTAGGAGACCTCTTTGATGAAGCCGGCAGCTAGGAGTTTTTCAATCTCGGCTTCGATGATAGCAACTCGCTCGGGTGCGAAGTTGCGTCTCTTCTGCAGGCATGTTTGACGACGACCATGGGAACATATCTTTGTTGTTCTTGAGGAAGGTGGTAAGCTCCACCTTCTCGTCTGGGCTTAGGCGCGAGCTGATCCGCACTTTTTTGTCTGGCTGGTCAGGATCCAAGGGTATTAACTCGACGTCTTCCTCGGGTTTCCATCCTTCATTAGGAAAGACCTCTGGACAGATTTCCTCGGCTTGGTCCTGACGCTTTGATTGCTATAAGAGAGTAAGATTCAGTTGTTCAACCTCCTTCAGATATGCCTGGCTCACAGGGAGGAATTGCGCTTGTTTGCTTTCCTTCAGCCCTTGGGCGGAGCATTTCCTCGCCATTGCATGATCACTGTTGATTTGGTCGACACCGCCCCCTAGGGATTGGGTACCGGATTTTCTTATGTGTGGCAGAGGTGATGGATTTGATCTTGCCGATCCATGGTCTGCCCAGAATGCCGTTGTAGGGTGAGACTTCATCAATGACCATGAATATTTGCAAGCTGACTACAGGCGGGGAGTAGACGTCGAGGTCTATCGTGCCCACGGTAACCGTTATTGCACCATTAAATCCGGTCAGCGATCTTGCTGATTTGTTGATCTTTGTCTCCAAGCTCATCCACACCAGTTGTAGGATATTGGCTGTGCTACCCTCGTCTCCATGGATTCGATTGACTATAGCCTGAGCGATTTGAATACTGATGACAAGGGCGTCATTATGTGGCATGTCGAGACCGATCAGATCTTTCTTTTGAAAGCCGATTACAAGATCGTCTTCTGCTGGTGGAAGGTCAGTCGAGACTTGGGAGATCATGGTGGCATGTTTGATCTTCCTCTTCTTTTCTTTGCTGGTCAGCCTTGACTCCTTGGCGTCGGCTAGGATTGTGATAATCCTTATGACCTTCTAGGGCAGCTCTTGGGCGGTGTCTCGATCTTCAATTCGTTGGATGGCTTGCTTCGCAATGAATTCTGTGCAGTGACCTTCCCTCACGAGTTCTTCAAGGTGCGCTTTCCAAGTGAAACAGTTGTTCGTAGTGTGCCCATGCATCTCATGGAAGGCGCAGTATTTTCTAGCATCCTTCTTGTCCGGATCTCCTTTCAAGGATGGTGGTCTTCTTATCCAAGGTTTGTTCTTCACTTGGGCTAAGATTTGATGTATGGGGATGGTGAACTTGGTGCAATTCTCTCATGCCGCAGCGTCTCCTTGTGGGTGTGACCTGCACTTGTCCTTGTTCATGTTGCTAAACCCGTTGCTTCTTTGGCTTGCCCGTTTAGTCGGCTGATCTTCCTTCTTAGTAGACTTTTTTGCGGCAATTCGATCGTCATCCCGAGCGCGTAGCGTTCCGCGATCGGGTAGACCTCTGTTATAGTCTGGCTGGGAATGATAGTCAGCTCGTGGTTCAAGTCATGTTCAGCTGTAAGGCCTTTCTTGAAAGCAGATGACGCGATTCAGTCGTCGCATCTTGATGTAATCTCGAAGGGATTCGTCAGACTTCTTGTGCAATCTGTACAAGTGGTTAGGGTTCTTCTTGATCGTCCGGTGAGAGGTGTATTCTTTGATGAAGAGGTAAGACAACTCCTTGAAGCTGCTGATTGACCTGGATGGAAGGGTGTGGAACCAATCTTGGGCTGCTCCTCACAAGGTCATTACAAATACCTTTCACATCAGCACGTCGTCAGCCTTGTGGAGGATCATGACACTTTTGAAGTGTTTTAGGTGGCTCTCGGGATTGGAGTCCCCTTTTAAGTGCGTAAACGAAGGCGTTGAGAATCACTTCGGGGGAGCAGCCTGCTCGATGTTCCCACCGGTCTTCAGGTCTTGAAGTCGGTTGTTCCCACCGGTCTTCAGGTCTTGAAGTCGGTTGTTCGCCTGGTCCATTTCCTTAAGTAGTGCATCTTCGACGTTCCCACCGGTCTTCAGGTCTTGAAGTCGGTTGTTCACAAGCTTCTCAACGTCTTCCGCACACATTGCTGGTTGATCACGTTGTTTGTGCCTAATAAATCACGGTCATAAGCTGATTGAGGGGACTTCCTTTAGGCCCTGGCGCCTACCGTTTCGTCGAGCATTTCGCATTCTTGAAACAAAAGGAAAACTGCAAAGGCAGAATCCTCTCGGCCTCGCGACCACAATGTTGAAGGCCGAAGCCGAAGGCTGTAAAAGACACGGCCGAAGAAGCTGTGGTTAAATCACCACGTGGCCTTAGGGTCCCACGCCCCATTTAATGAAGTAATCCCTCTGACTTCGCAGCAAACCCACTAGTCGCAAGAAGCATTTAATGCACAAGGAAAGTGACTGAAGTCAGGATTTGGTGATGGAAATCAGGGTAGTTAGGCGCATACATTCTCACAAGTAATCTTACGACTTGATGTCAGATCACCAACCACCAGACCAGGGCATTGAATGCGTTCCCACGGCCAAGGGAGCAGAACCCACGATCAGGGCGGTGGCCGAGATTTACCGAGATTTATGAGGGTCACACCACCATGCTTCTCAACCCCAAGCCACCATACTTCACGATCCCAAATGCCGATTTGACTACCCACTTGCCCGGTCAGGCTCCACCACGCAGGTCTTGTCAGCCTCGATTGTCCCTCCAGGACTCCTCCTATAAATACTAAGCTCAGGACTACATTCAAAGGGTTCAAACACCAAACCAAAAGCCTCCCACAGAGCAAATTATATTTTCCTGTAATGCACTTTCAATACCTTTATTTGCTTTCCTAGGAGTAGTGGTAGATTGTAAGGAAAATCCATTCATCAATATATCATACGACCCTTGATTTTCAAGGCGCCAGAGCACCATCTTTGTTATCGTCTCACTCACCCCATATATCATACGACCGTCGCTCTCTAAGCAACGCTCCGGAGCACCGCCTAAAACCCGCCACCAACGCCACCACTAAACGGCCTTGTAGCTCAGGCCGTGAACCTGACGGCCGAGATCAGTTCCTCTCTCGGCCACAATCATTTGATTAGGAGTCGAACGTAAAACAGGCGCAACATTTAAACCATCTTCTATCCGAACCTCATCATCATCTTGACGCACGGTAGACCATGCTGGCACACTCGCGCACAACCGCACCGCATCCAAAAGAATGACGTCCTATGTTGACACACATCCCCTCGACCCGGAGCACCAGGCCGTGAGATTCACAACAGCCAACACTTTTGGCACGCCCGATAGGACCCTTGTCAAAAACTCATGGTGGAAACTAGGGCACAGGCAAAGCTCAAAAACAAAACAGTTGAAATGACTTCCGAGGCTCCTGAGTCCACCTCACCAATCACTGTCACCGAGACCGAACACGTGGTCAGAATCTCAACCAGCGGTCCAATAACGACGGATCGCACCGCCGAGTCCATGGGAGAGCAAGCAGTCGTGGAAGATCTGATGGCAAAGCAGGCCTACAGGATAGAAACATCCTTTATGGCCGCAATGGACAGATTCTCCTCAGAGCTACAGACGCTTTTTCAGGAGAGGATGCTGGTGACATCGTCCACAACGCCTCCCAGAGCCGGACAGAGAAGCCAAGAGCGCGAGAGGTTCGAGCCCTACTGCGAAAGCAGCAACCTCGGCGTCTCTGGCCGCACCCAAGCGTCAGGCTATAGCCAGCATTCTCAGCCGCCGACAAACAGCTGGGGGCAATCCCAGCCAACATGGGTAAGTCCCGGACCAACCTGCCCAGCAGAGATGGCGTACGGCCCAATCCATGCTTTGGCCGTGTCACTGGGGCAAAGCAGCCCCACACATTTCGCGGTCCAGCAACTTGGCCCAGTTCACACTGAGGCATTCCAGAAACATCCCGGCCCAAGCAACTCGACCGCTGCTTCGTCACAGCAATATGGTCAGAGCAATTCGACCGTTTCACCATTACATACGTCGTTATTGGCATCAGGCTCCCATCTTCAGTACGCTTCGGCCGTTCCAACAACAACGCATACAAACCCCGGTCAAACCTACAGCGCTCACCCAATGCCACCCGGTTCGGTCGTAACGGCTGAGTCCCTCGTTCAAGTGGCTCAGCAGATCAAGCCTCAGGACGATGCGCAACAGGACCAGCGGCCACTTCCAACCCAGCTGGAGTCGCCCCCTTAGGATCCTCGGACCGAAGATGCCCGGCACACGACCAAGGACGGCTCAACCCAGAGACGGCCGGGGGCACCAAGTTATACTGAGCTGTACCCACCAGGAAAGCCCAGGACTTGGCGCGATTTGCTCTCTAGGGCTTCTTGGGCACGCCGCACACCAAAGCACTCCATGAGCACATTTCCCTGTATCTTAACCTACGACCATGGCATTCATGAACTAATGGAGCTAGAGGTTCGATTTCTTCAAGTTTTCACGTGACTTAGGCGAAAGACGGAGAGCTACACGCAAACCGTGCCTGGGAGTTTAGAAAAGTTAGAACAGTCAAGGCTCGCCGCTTACAGTTCGACGCAAGTTCAAGAAAAAATGGCACCGAGGGCCTACGACAAAAAAGTCAAAAAGAAAAATAGGGGGAAGTAGGCGAGCGAGCTAAAGAAACAGCGCGGCCAATATAAAGCAAAAAGCATACATTCAATCAATCAGAGAAGAGGGCCCAGGCTTTGTATTTAGATGAAGAGATCGTTTCATTTTTACAAAAGGAAAAACGAACGGCCAGTCATGGCCGGTCACAACACAAAGAAAATATATATGTATATACGCGTGTATCTGTATGTCTGTGGGAAAAGAAGAAGTGCTCAATTATTACATCCTAAAATCTTTGAGCGGCCGCCCACCTAAACCCCCCTCGCTAAACATCCCCCAGATTAGGCATGTTATCCTTCTCCAGGCAATGTCCCCACCATCTATATCGGCATGCCACCTCGCACGAATCAGCTTCCTCTTGGCCAATGCCCTCTTTTTCTCGGTCGCCGCCTTAAGAATTTGCCTGGCCGAGGACTTCAGCTCAGTTCCGACCGCGACCGCACCATCTCGGTGCTGAAGGATGAGATCTCGACGGGCCTGGAGCTCGGCAATCTCAACCTCGACCTGCGCAAGTTTCTCATTCTCTCTTTGGATGACGAGGTCGTTTTCCTTCAAGTGGGCCATGGCAAGTTGGACTTGGTCTTTTATCACCGACAGCTCTTGCTCGAGCGAGCATCCCTCGGTCATCATGGCCATATCCAGACAGGACCTGAACTCCATGAATGCCTCAGCAGTGGTCATTTGGTGAACCCTAAGGAATATGTACTCTCGGAGCCTTTCATGGAGACTGGCATATAACTCCTCGAGATCATCGGAGGAGGTGGTCCCCTGAAAATGGAAAAGGAGATTTAAATGGGAAACAGCCAACTAGGACATGGGGAATGACAAGGTGAAAATCTAAATACTCACTTCAGCGGCCGACGGCGCGCCAGGAGCTTCTGCAACCACAAGCTCGGTCAGGACCGTTGAGGAGACAGGCGGCGGGCTCGGTGCGTCGGTAGCTATAGCCTCGACCACTGCAAGCTCAGTCACTACCGTCGAGTCCTGGGACCGCGGCGCCGCGGGCATACTCATAGCGATCGCGGGTAGCGACAGTGACGACCGGGGAGGCTGGAAGCAAAAATTCGGTCAAAGGCATGTGGCGGGATTCTGAAAATAAAACAAAAGTACAGTAAAAGCAGAACGCTTACCGAGCGGATCACGATGCCGCCTGGACGACGAGGAGCGAACGGCAATGGCTCGACGAACGCGGTAACGGCCAAGGTAGGCACGACAGAAACGGCCGAAGGGACTTCCACCAGGGTGGCCCGCGTCGGTTCCACGACCAGGACCTCGTCGTCTGGCATATCCACGGCGGCTTCCTCAGCAGCTGGCACCTCTGCGACTGCTGCCTCGGCATCCGGCATTTCCGCCACCTCGGCAAAAGCCGCCCCCTCGACTGCCACCTTGACGTCGGCCACCTCCTCGGCCACGGCCTTGCCCTTAGAAAAACTGGATTATCAGAAAAGGGAAAGAGGGGAGGGGGGAGGGAACATGGCCTAGAAAATGGGTAAAAAGAAATTAAGGAGGAGTACTTACGGTCACAAGAGGGGCTTCACTCACGATCCCAGGGGGGACTTCTTCCTCGTCCTCAGCCTTCGAAAGAACGAGGAGGACCTTTTTGTCGGCCGCTCTAGCACCGCCGTCTCAACAGCAACACCTTCGGCCGGCGCGGCCTCAACTGCTGCGGCCCCAGTGCTTGAGGCCTCTCGATCCCTCTTGCGACTCGGGGTTGTGTGTACAAGGAGAAGTAAACGAGGTAAGAAGCAAAATAAACAAAGACAAAGGTGGCTCGGAGAAGCCGACGACAAAGCAAAAAAGAGAGAGGGCTTACCAACGGCAGCGATCGGTCAAGTCAGCGGGGCGGATGGCACGGTCCTATGCGCCAAAGTTTTTCGCGCCCCCACTACAGCCAGCGCCCTGGAAGTTGGGGCCGCGGTTGAGGTCGCGATCGCTGCTTTGACCGAAGGAGAGGTCACCACCCTGGGTACGACCGCGGTCGATGTGCTCGGTCGAGGAAGCACGGCCGAGGCCTTCTTCCCCTTACCAGCCTTGGGGATGAGGGGGTCCCAATCTGCATTCTTCAAGGCCCCCTTCACGGCCTCTTCAACAGGCCGAATGAATCTGGCTGAGATACACTCCTCGTACCAGACTCTTCCATCCTCGTCGTACGTATTACGACGCAACCAAGGCGTCAGAGTAAGGAAGGTCATCCCCTTCTGGAGTTGGAAGGAAATGCCAGCCACGCCATGCTGCTGGGTGACGTCGGAAGATGAGAGCCGGTTGGTTGACAGCGGGGGAAGCGGTGCCGTCTGGATCAGGCCGAATTGCCGCGCCACGAAGTTCGGCAGATAAACCTCGGCCCCAGCCTTGGACAGGCCGCAGTGAAGGTCGCGCGCGACCAGGAAGGAGCCCCAGATCTCCTTCAGATCATTCTCCGTTTCACCGTCAGGAATCACGGAGAGGTCGTGCGCCAAGAACAAAGGGTACGGCCGAGCAAGGCACACCCGGAACTGCGACCCGGTCCTCTCAACCAAGCCATAGAAAAATTTATAACAAGAAGTCGAGGTGTTATGCTTCCTGGGGGCCCGGGCAAACGCATTGGCCAACGGCTCGGTGTCGGTAATACTGGCCACTCCCCTCAGCTATGGGAAGTAAGCTTGCAACCAGAACTGGAAGGCCCATAGTGGACCACCGTGCTTTGGCTTCATCCCATCCGTGACGACGTCGTGAAGCGTGCGGTAGATATGACCGAGGAGGAATGGGCCGAGCGCCAGCCTTCCGCCCTACGTAAGATAGTCGGCCAGGTGGGCAAACTCCAGGGTGACTTTGTTCGCCTGGGTGCAAAACACGAACTTGCATAGCCAGTACAGTAAGAATGCGGCATGCTCGACCTCGCCCAAGGGAGCGATGGAATCATCATCGGCGCTGTCCTCCACGTCGAAATTGCTGTAGAAGCTGGAGTAGTTGAGCATGTTCTTCGCTTTACTCCCAGCAAGCTTGGCGACCGTAGGCCATGCGGCCTTAAAACTCCCTTCAGCCTCAGGGGCCACCAGAGCGGCATTTACTTCCACGCCAAGGGGAGAGAGTCCGAATAGGGCGGCCATGTCCAGAACGGTCGGCGTCATCATGCCAAACCGGAGGTTCATAGTATTTGTGGCCGACGACCAGAAGCATAGGGTCGCGGCCAAAAGTGACCGGTCCATGACGAGCGGCCGATCGAACAGCTTGATCAAGTGGTAGATGCCTTGATCCTTCCATTGCTGGCTGAAGAAGTGCTCCATCCTCAGCAGCCATTTCTCCTAGTCCGGGGTCGAGGTTGGCCATTGGGGCTGCGGCCTGGCGACATTCCAATCTTGGAAGTCCCCCCCGTTAAAGGCCGAGAGGTCCACCAGGTTGTTCTTCAAATGAGCCACCAGCCTCTCTGGCATCCCGCCATCTACAAAGGGGCCGAGGACGCAGGAGTCGGTGGCGGTGCCGTCGTCATCAGTCCAAGGTGTGACGATGTTTGATAGGACCGAGCCCTGGATTTCTCGGCAGATGTCTTCAAACTCAGTCTGGAAGACTTGGGACAGAGCTTCAACAGATGTAGGGGTGCTGGAGGCCATTGAAACATATTAAAGTAAGGATATGTTTGAAAAAGTCGAAGGAAGGGTGATGAACACGAAGAACACCAGGGAGCCAAGTGCTCAGAAAAATGGGCGAAGAATTCGAGAGTTTTTAGAGAAATACAAGAGAAGAGACTGAAGTCGTTGGTTACTAACAAAGGGGGATAACTGGGGCGAAAAGAGTTGGAGTGCTGAAATGTGAAGTTCGAAAGGGTTGAAGAGTTGAGAGAAAGGTTTGACAGAGGTTGGGTGTCTGAAATTTCTGAAAGCGTAAGGAAGGGATGAAGAAGGACAGGCTTTTATATTGGCGCTAGAATTCGAAACGAAAGGGCGTGGCTCTCTCGAGAGACGTAACGGCCTGACAAGCGTGCTCAAGGAGCGCGATGACGTGTCGAAAGCCCAGCGGCCGTCGCTTCGTTTGACGAGACGAAACGACGGCTCGCACAAGTCTAGGCAATGATGGCCTGCAAGATGTGCTTGCGCATTTAATGCGCCGATTGACCTACGCATTTAAAGCACCAATTGTCAATCACTTCAGGGGGAATGCAAAGGGTCCATCCCTTGGAATCCTTTCGGCCTCTGCCCAGGCCGCGACCGAAGAATCCAGGGATGTGGGGGCAATGTTTGTGCCTAATAAATCATGTTTGTGCCTCTGCCCAGGCCGCGACCGTAAAAGACACGGCCGAAGAAGCTATGGTTAAATCGCCACGTGGCCTCAAGGTCCCACGCCCCATTTAATGAAGTAATGCCTCTGACTTCGCAGCAAACCCACTAGTCGCAAGAAGCATTTAATGCACAAGGGAAGTGACTGAAGTCAGGATTTGGTGATGGAAATCAGGGTGGTTAGGCGCAAACATTCTCACAAGTAATCTTACGACTTGAGGTCAGATCACCAACCACCAGACCAGGGCATTGAATGCGTTCCCACGGCCAAGGGGGCAGAACCCATGATTAGGGCGGTGGCCGAGAAGGGTTCTACCCTAATCGTGGGTTCTGCCCCCTTGGCCGTGGGAACGCATTCAATGCCCTGGTCTGGTGGTTGGTGATCTGACCTCAAGTCCACCGCCCTGATCGTGGGTTCTGCCCCCTTAGCTGTGGGAACGCATTCAATGCCCTGGTCTGGTGGTTGGTGATCTGACCTCAAGTCGTAAGATTACTTGTGAGAATGTCTGCGCCTAACCACCCTGATTTCCATCACCAAATCTTGACTTCAGTCACTTCCCTTGTGCATTAAATGCTTCTTGCGACTAGTGGATTTGCTGCGAAGTCAGAGGCATTACTTCATTAAATGGGGCGTGGGACCCTGAGGCCACGTGGCGATTTAACCACAGCTTCTTCGGCCGTGTCTTTTACGGCCTTCGGCTTCGGCCTTCAACACTGCGGTCGCGAGGCCGAGAGGATTTTGCCTTTGCAGTTTTCCTTTTGTTTCAGGAAGGCGAAATGCTCGACGAAACAGTAGGCGCCAGGGCCAAAAGGAAGTCCCTTCAATCAGCTTATGACTGTGATTTATTAGGCACAAACACACGTTGGTGACCTTCGCGGTTTGGGCGATGCTGATTGACCTCCTCGTTGATCTGCGAGGGTCGACCTTCTCGCATGCGCTGCCTAGGCGACATGTTGGTGGACTGCGCTTGTGAAGGATTTTTTGTAGCTTGCCGACGAGAATCAACTCTTCGAGAGTGAGTAGCGGAGCACCTTTCCTCATAGTCCTCACTATGAGGGTTATCCAACTGACCACCCTAGAGGCCTAGCCTTTCGTAAATGCTCCTCTGTGAGTGGACAGCTGAGCGCCTTTCTTCATGATCTTCATTGCGATGGTTGTCTAGCTGACCTCCCTGGGGGCCTAGCCTTTGATGTACATTTCCTTGCCGCCCTAAGCGGGTGCGGATGTCAAGTCGTGGGCCCAACCTTTCGTGCACGTTGTTCCTTAAGCTTAATATGCTCTGAATGTGGCTTGGAGATGCTTGCGACATGTCGGCATGCCGATCATGTTGTTGTCCCTAGCCTTGTCTGCTTACTCCTGCTTGACCTGCTTAGTACCCGTCGAGCTGCCTGCCGGTGCACTCGTCTATCCTTCTCTCTTCACTCGGTTGTCCAAGGCCAAGGTTTTGAGCCAAGCTTATTTGGTGGAGGAGTTGCCTCATTAGATTGCTTTGGTCGTCCATTTTCTGAGCTAGCTGGTCAACTCTCAGATTAAGATCTGCTTGACTTTGTGGATCGGGAGGAGAGAAGTGTGTGGAGCCCAATTGCACACGGGCTAGGGTTTCATTGGAGGTGTACGCTGGAGCGTGCGTCGAGCATGGAGGCAACGGAGGGAACACTTGAAGTTGCTCCAAGACCGGGCCTAAGTCGGTGGTGGTTACGAGCCCATCTTGATGGGAGGTTCCACCATGTTCAGCGGCGGTGGCCGGTGCGGTGGTGAGAGGTGGTGGTGCCACCATGTCGATCGCGGGATCGTGGGTGGAGTGGCTTTGGGCCGTCGTGGATTTAGCCATCGCGGCGGTTTTGCCTCTTGTCTTCTTGCTTCCAACCATGGTTGTTTTGAAGGCTTTGGTGGATTGGAAAATAGGAGGAACAGATTCCTTGAGCACGCGTTGAGTATAACTCATGCTCTCAATGAAAGCACCAATTTGTGTAAGCAAATTTCCCCACAAGAATATTCGATTGGAAAGATTCCCCTTCTTTCTCCGCCGTCTCTTTCTCCCTGCAAAATAGAACAAATAAGAGGGCCACACCCAGGGGTGTTGGCCAAAGGCCCTCCGATGCCTAAATTAGTTCAAGAGTTTGTAACAAAAACACTAGCTAATCTAGGGTACGGAGATGTGTTTTAGGTGTAAACCGGGCGGCTGGAGCCTTATGTAAAAGAGAGAGAGAAAGGAGGTAGCTAGGGTTTGAGAGGAATTTTCTGCAGAGTTTCAGTAAAGATTTTAGACGTACCTCAACCCTTGTGTGTGTCTATGCTTTTATAGTGGTCTTGGAGGCTAGGGTTTTAGAGGAATAACTCCGTAGATGGAAGGGAATTATTCCTCCCCTTTTTGGAATTGATTTGATTAATTAGGGATTTGATTTATCAGGGTAAATCAAATCCCTAATTGTGGTAGGTATCAAATCAAATCCTAATTCAATTAGGTAACTCCTCATTTAATTGGAAATCGTGGTAAATAATCAAATCAATTCTCAACCAAATTAGGTAACGTTCAATTTAATTGGGTAATCCCCAATTAAATTGAGTAACTCCCAATCAGGTTGATTAATTCCCAATTAGGTCAAATAATCCCCAAATTGAATGAATCATTTCACCTAGGGTTATGATTTAATTTGGTTACCACAGGCTTCATCTCCCACAACGGCTCCATACTTCTTTTTATTTTTTATTTTTATTTTTTATTATAATAGTTAGACCCTACATTATAAATACCCAAGTAAACACTATATCTTCTTCATTGGCGGTGTGGTTGTTCTCATTCCTTGGTGGTGGTGGTGCTTTTATTCCCTCGCAAGTAATATCTTAACCTCTCTTTTAATATTCTCTTGTTAAAAATTTAATTTATTAAAATGCAATTGAAAATTGTTGAATCAATAAGCTCCCATGCCTCAACCTCATCTAATACAACAATTTTTTTTTATTATAAAAAAAGTGATGTTTGGAATTGTTTTGTAAATGTTGAAATTATGAAAAATGGTGTTACAGTAGCTAGAGAAAAATGTAGTGTTTGTAATAAATTATTGTCATGTAATACAATCTCGAATGTTCTCGGCCACAAAACATAGCATAAGAATGTGTGGTTGGGTTGTTATTATAGTTTACTTGAGTATCAATGTCGATGAGGGTGTACTAAGGAACATCAAAGAAGAGAAGCATTAGGCCCTGCTTCACAAACTTCATCGCCATTTCAGCATCCATTTTGTTAGTATGAAATTTGTATTGTCATTTCCTAGACTCTAGCATAGGTTGGGAGTTAGTGTGTGAATATCGTTTACTAGACGTTTTGGCGCAACACATTCAATCTCAGGTTTCCGAGGCATGTCCTCACCATATGAGAATCTTGACCTCAGGTAAATCATGACATAATCATGCATTCATTATAGGATTCCTAGTTGGAGTTATTTTCACTCAAGTATCTTTATGTTAATCTTATTTTTAATAAGATTAGATTTTATCTCTTGAGATTACTTTCCTAGTTCAACTCTATTTTAATTGAAGTTAAAATATTATCTTTTCCTATTGTGACTTTGCTTGTTGCTTACCTCTTAGTTAATTTGGTTTAAAGAGAGGCGTTATTACTTTGAGTCCAATGTGAATCAAATCTCTTATTGATGATAGGTTGTGGTGCAATAGGAAATTGAAGATTCGTGGCCTATTAGGTTTCTCTCCCTTCAGAGATAACAAGCCTTGTATAAAAGATCATGTGCTATTCTTTTATTTTCACAGCTTTTGAGATATTTGTTCTGAGCATATAGAATTCTAAGAAAAGCTGTTGTGCGTATATTTGAGATAAATCATCAAGTGTTCAATGTTTACTTGGTGATTTATCAAACACTTTAATCATTCATATTGCATTCATATGCATGTCGGTGACTCATACGGTTGAGGGCACCAAGACCGTGGTGACGGTTTTCCTCCGGTGAGCTTGAAGCAATCGTGGCCAGTATTGCGTTCAACATAAGGAGTGTCGAAGATCATCCCGTGACAGAAGTTGAGTTACGAAGAAGTCGGTAAACATTATCTAGAATGTGTTTAGGATAAGTGTGTGAATACTTCTTGTAATCATCGTTCTATGGTGGATTTGTGTTGGACTGAGGAGTCCCGTGGATTTTCCCAAGAGGTGGGGTTTTACCACGTAAAATAATTCTCTGCGTGTTCTTTTATTTTATGCCCAGCACGTTACAGGATTGATAAGCCATATCAATCCTGCTACCAAAGTTTATTTTTATTTATTTGATTAGAATCTTAAATTGGCCTATTCACCCTCCTCTAGGCATTTTGAGTCATCCTGCAGGTATTTTCAATTGGCATCAGAGCAGGTTGCTGGACATACTCAGCAAGATCTAACATACCTTAGGATGGATCGTGCCTCGGGCTCAATTGCACATCCACCATATTTCGATGGCAACAACTATGGCGCTTGGAAGGCCAAAATGAAGTCGTTTCTTTGGTCCTTAGATGAACGTGTATGGAGCACAGTGGTTCATGGATTTCCTAAACCCACAAAGACGATTGGAAAAGGAGATGAAGAAACCACAGTCCTCAAAACTAGAGAGGAGTGGACCACTGCAGAAGTCACACACAGCACTAATAATCAAAAGGGGTTAAATGCTTTATTTACTGCTGTCTCTTCCAATCAATTTGAATATATATCTGCTTGTGATACTTCTAAGGAAGCTTGGGATATTTTGCAGGTTACTCATGAAGGAACAGATATTGTCAAGGGAGCCAAGCTTCAAATGCACACTTTACAGTTTGAGACACTTATGATGGATGAGAATGAAACTTTTTCTGAATTTTATGCTAAACTTTGTGTAATTGTGAATGCTTGTTCAGGTTTAGGTGAAAAATTTCCAGAAGATAGAGTTGTGAAAAAGATTTTGAGATCCTTGCCTCAACGGTTTCAACCAAAGATCACGGCTATTGAAGAGATCCGTGACTTGAACACCTTGAAAGTTCAAGAACTCATAGGGTCCATACAAACCTATGAGATGAAACATCTACCTCCTAAAAAGAGCAAAAATGTTGCGTTCAAGGTTGTGAATGAAGAAGATGATGGACATTCAAATGAAGATTGCAGTGATGAGGAATTAACGATTCTCACAAGACGATTCATAAATTTTCTCAAGAATCAGGATCCAAGGAGTCGAGATTCAAAAGGTATAAATTCTAAAAATAGGTTTGTTAACTATACTGATGGTGGATCTAAATTTCGCAGGTTAAATGAACGAAAGAATCCAAGAGAAAAGGTCAAATGTTTCGAATGTGAAGGCTATGGACACATATCTTCGGAATGTGCCAACACCTTAAAGAAACAAAAGGATGGCAATAATAAGGTAATGCATACTACTTGGAGTGATAGTGAATCGGAATGCGAGAATGATGAAAAGACGGTTGCACTTATAACCACAGTTAGCTTGGATGAATCACGTGAGGATGATGATTGTAAAGGTATAAATATTGAGTTTATCATGAACAAATATGATGATTTGTTGGCTGCATCTCAGAAGCTCAGTAAACAAAATAGTGAGCTCGTCAAAGAAGTTGTTGTGCTGAAGCTGGAAAATTGCAGGATTGCAAACGAGTTTCAATCCCCTGATGCACTCTCTTCATCCGGACATCGCCAGCAGTGTCCTTTATGCTAAAACAGCGGCGGCTGCTTGGACAGATCTTCGAGACCGTTTTTCACAGAGCAATGACGCCAGAATTTATCAGATTCGACAAGAAATTGTCGAGTGCAGACAAGGAACGCAAACTATCTCCATCTATTACACAAAGTTGAAAGCTCTTTGGGATGAGTGGCTTCATACCAAGAGCCCTTTATCTGTGACTGTGAAGGACTAAAAAACCTTGCTGAGAGAGAAGAGAAAGAAAGGGTGATGCAATTTTTGATGGGTTTGAGCGACACCTACTCTACGGTTCGAGGATCAATTCTCATGATGAATCCCTTACCTGACACATGCAAAGTTCATGGCCTGGTTCTCCAACACGAGCGCCAGTTAGAGGTAACCAGCAGGCATGACAATCTGGTTACTCCACATGCGATGCAAACCGGTCGTTCTTCGGTGGCCACCACTCCCTCCACAGGTTGGTCACAATCCCCCTCCACAGGTTGGTCACAATCCCGCAAATCCCTCAAGTGCTCATATTGTGATGGAGATGGTCATCTGAAAGAACGATGCTACTTTATTATTGGTTTCCCTGTGGGACATAAATGGCATGGCAAAAATGTTAAGCCCAGAAACCAGCGTTCCGGTCCAACAACTCACAACATTGAAGCCATTCAGTCAACAGTTCAACCTACTGCCATCACCAAGACAACCCCCGTTGATGGCCCAACCTTCACCACTGAGGAGTACAACGAACTTATTACCATGCTTCGTAATAAGAAGGGTAACAGTCAGCCTCTAGCACATGCAACAGGTATCATTACACCCACTTGTAATATTGCACAACATGATCCACACTCCACGCTATATTGGATTGTGGATAGCGGGGCCACCGATCACATTTCTCATTCGGCTCCTACACATAATCAAACTGCCACACATCATGAATTTGTTAGTTTGCCCAACGGAGAACAGACAGCAATACGTAACATTGGATCTATGAATTTATCGCCTGACTTGACTCTTGATGGAGTTCTACATGTTCCAAAATTTCGTGTTAACTTGTTGTCTGTTAGTAAATTAACACGAGCTCTTCGATGTATAGTAATTTTCTTTCCAAATTATTGTGTTGTGCAGGACGTGGATACGAAGAAGACGATTGGCCTGGGCAAGCATTTTGATGGGCTTTACTACCTCACACCTACCCAAAATCCTCATCTTGCTACTCATGTTCGGCGTACCTCCATGCTTTGGCATCAACGTCTCGGACATCCGTCATCTGCACCCCTTCACTCTTTATCCAAGACTATTCCTGAAATAATGTTTCATTCTGAGCAAATTTGTGATGTTTGCCCTTTGGCTAAACAAACCAGATTACCATTTACTTCTAGTTCAATTAAAACAGTTGCACCTTTTGATCTTATTCATTGTGACATTTGGGGCCCTCATAATACCCGTACACATTCTGGGGCACGTTATTTTTTGACAATTGTTGATGATTTCACTCGTTTCACTTGGGTTCATCTTATGAATTTTAAATCTGATACACAAACCATTTTGAAATCATTTTTCTCTTGGGTCACCACTCAATTTAATCGCACCATTAAAACTCTTCGTTCTGACAATGGTAGTGAATTCCTATCCATGCGTCCATTCTTTCTTGAACATGGCACCAATTTCCAACACTCTTGCACATATACTCCTCAACAAAATGGGGTCGTTGAACGCAAACATCGTCATCTCTTAAACATTGGTCGCGCACTTCGGTTCCAAGCTAACTTGCCTTTGCAATTTTGGGGAGACAGTCTTCAAACAGCATGTTACCTCATAAATCGACTCCCCACCCCCTTACTCTCTCATAAAACCCCTTATGAGCGATTACATGGGAAATCACCTTCTTATTCTCACCTACGGGTTTTCGGGTGCCTTTGCTATGCCACTCACCTTAACCCCACTCACAAATTTGACACCCGGGCTCGTCGTTGTCTTTTTCTTGGGTATCCTCTTCGTCAGAAAGGCTATTGTGTCTTTGATCTTGAGACAAAGAAATATTTTGTGTCTCGGGATGTCATTTTTCATGAATCATCATTTCCTTTTTCTCACTCCCTTTCTAATCCTCCCACGGACCAGCCCATTCTGCCTACTCCTCCTACCACTTCAGACCTTCCTTCTCTACCCGGCCCAATGTCTCCAGGCCCATATTCCCCACACTTACCTCTCCTAGACCCGGCCCACTCTGATCAGCCAATCTCTCATTCTGATACCCTTCCAAACCCTACTTCCCCAATCTCCACACCGCCTCTCCCTTCTCTCGATGGCGGCTCTGGTTCTTCAATCCCCGGCCTCACCTCTCTTTCGACTGATCAGCCGTCGTCCTCCCTTGAACCTTCACAGCCTCATCCTTCTTCTCTTGACTCATCCTCATTACCTCGACGGTCTGCCCGTGTCCCCCGTCCTCCTACCTATCTTCGGGACTATGAAGCTCATCACACCGCCTTGCTCACGCCCGGAGTCGCTTCTTCCTCCACGTCTGGAACCAGGTATCCCCTTCATCGATATGTATCTTACTCTGGTCTTTCTCCTGCTTATCGGAATTATGTGTGTAATATATCCCGATTGGTAGAGCCTTCTTCCTATGAACAGGCCTGTCATGACCCTCAATGGGTTGCTGCAATGAACTCTGAGCTGCAAGCTCTTGAAGACAACCACACCTGGTCGCTGGTTCCTCTGCCTCCCGGTCATCGTCCCATTGGTTCCAAGTGGATTTTTCGGATTAAATACCACTCTGATGGCTCTGTTGATCGTTACAAGGCCCGCCTTGTTGCCCAGGGATTCAACCAACATGAAGGTATTGACTTCACTGACACATTTGCTTCGGTTGCGAAGTTGATTACTGTCCGCTGCTTACTCACGGTTGCGGCTGCTCGCAACTGGTCTCTTCATCAAATGGACGTTCAGAATGCGTTTCTCCATGGCGACCTCCACGAGGAGGTTTACATGTTACCTCCGCCTGGTTCACGTCGACAGGGGGAGCAGCAGGTTGTTTGTCGACTCCACAAGTCCTTATATGGATTGAAACAAGCTCCACGGAGCTGGTTTCGAAAGTTTTCATCTACTATATGTGGAATTGGTTTCAAGCAATCTAAGGCAGATTACTCTTTGTTCACACAGGTACATGGAAGTTCCCTGACTATTATATTGCTCTATGTAGATGACATGATCATCACAGGGAATGATGAGAAGGTAATCTGTAAATTGAAGCATTTCCTTGGCAGCCAATTCCGAATCAAAGATCTCGGACCCTTGAAATATTTCCTTGGTGTTGAGGTGGCACGGTCGAAAACGGGAATTTCTATATGTCAACGCAAGTATACTCTTGACATTTTGGAAGAAGCTGGACTACTTGGAGCTAAACCAGCCAAGGTTCCCATGGAACATGATATAACATTATCTTCTACAGGTGAACTGCTCAAAGATCCTACTAGGTATCGACGCTTAGTTGGAAAGCTAATCTATCTCACAATTACAAGGCCAGAAATTACTTATGCAGTCAATACACTCAGCCAGTTTATGCAAGAGCCTAAACATCAACATCTTGATGCTGTAAATCGTCTACTTTGATTGCATCCAGGGCAAGGGCTGTTATTCTCTACACAGAACAAGTTGAACCTAATTGGTTATTGTGATGCTGATTGGGCTCGTTGCCCAATGACACGCCGGTCAGTCACGGGATATTGCATCTTTCTTGGTAACTCACTGGTGTCCTGGAAAAGCAAGAAGCAAGTTACAATTGCACGATCATCTGCCGAGGCTGAATATCGTTCAATGGCTGCAGCTACATGTGAACTCACTTGGTTAAGATATCTATTGCATGATCTGCATGTTACTCATGATGAACCTGCAAAGTTGTTTTGTGATAATCAAGCTGCCCTATATATTGCAGCAAATCCAGTGTATCATGAACGAACCAAACACATTGAGCTCGATTGTCACACCGTTCGTGAAAGAATAGAAAGAGGTGAGATCAAGACTGGATATGTGCAAACTGGAGAACAGATAGCAGACTTGTTTACCAAGCCATTGAGGGCACCTGCATTTTGTTCACTTCTTGGCAAGTTGGGTGTCATCAATATCCACCTTCCAACTTGAGGGGGAGTGTTAAAGGAAAGAAAATCAGTCAATGATCTGAGATTGAGAGATTATAGGATCAGAATATATTTGGCAATCAGTCAATGATATGAGATTGAGAGATTGTAGGATCCGAATATAATTAGCAAATAATTAGTATGTATTTACTTAGAATAGACTTGCTCTGTATGTATAAAGATTAATTATTGGAAGAGAAAATATACAGCAAAGAACTTGAATTTGTTGGACACCATGGTCTAATTTATTTCTAGAATATCAAGGATGTATGTGCTCTTGTCTCCATTGGTATTCTCCCTCTCTTTCTCACTCTCAATATCAGGTTTTAAATCTTGCAAGGTTTTGCATGAATTTTTATCAATAATAGCTAAAATTTCCACCCTAATTTCATAAACACAGACAAATGGAAGGGCCTTACTGATCAACAATCACCTAGCTAGAGAAGACCATTGTGTCTCCAACAACCCACGTGATCCCATAACACCCATTAACGACATAGCCATCTAGATCTATCAACTCCACCTCCAAAGACAAAGAGATCAAATGTAGATCAAAACCAACACCAAACTTGTAAATCGAGAGGCCAAGAGCGGTTGATCCACAAAGATCTATAAAGCCCAACCTAAAAGATTGGGATGGATATCCAAGAAGATTGGGGAAAATACCTAAACCCTTGTATAACTCCAGGGTGAAACAAAATTTGGCAAAAAACTGGGAGGGAAAACTCTCCACAACATAATGAGGGAGAGAGGCCTGGTTTATTAGTCCAAAGGAGGTGGTTCCAAGGGAAACCCTTGGAACCAAAGAAATTTGTAGTTTGTTACTATTTTTTGGGTTTTGAACTTAAGAGAGAATAAGGGAGGCAAAATAGATAATTTTTGGGTTCTTTGCTACTATTGATGTTAAGGTGTGTTAGTTGCCTATTGAAGGAAATAGTGTGGATGATGTATTTTGATCCTCAATGTATGGTTGGTAATGTTATACTCAATGAGAAAGGTTTTAGGGTTGTAGGTTTGTGTACCGTAAAAAAGAAAAAGAGAGATTAATTTATGCGTGTTCTAAAAAAGTGTTGCATGATTATATAGTTCACATGTGCATGCAACATCATGTAGTAAAAAATTATTATTATCATTTTTTTTTAAATTCGGAAGTTCAATAACAAACATGCTTGCATCGAGCACATTTGTGAGCAGAAGAGTATGTTGATAACACAAGTATGTATTCTTTAGGCTTTGCGGTCATTAATTATAAAAATGAAGAAAATTACAAGTGGTTCCTCCAAAATCTGTCAGGAATTATCAACCCTCAAGGAAAGACTATTACATGTATATATGATCGACATTAAAAATTGCTTGAAGTAGTGCCATAAGTGTTCTCAAATTCACCGTATTCCTTTTGTTTCTATCATTTAAAAACACAATATCCTTTAAAGTACCCATCTTCATTTGAAATGCATATGAGAACACCAAAAGATGAGAATGATATTGGAATTAGAGGATTCTTAAAATGGGTAGGTGTTTTCTAGGTAATTACATATCGTTGTTTCCAAAGAGAATTGGGTAGGTGTTTTCTAGGTAATTACCGTTACTTGTGCTCAAATGGGGCAGAATCTTTTAATGCTTTGATTGCATATCGTTATTATTTGCCTATATACATGTTCACAAATGGTAGTAAGGTCAAAATCATGAATGTGAATGCTCACAGGCAATGTATTGTCGAATGATGAACCATTTATTTGACAGGACCCGTCCTGAATTCCTCAGAATCTGTGATGAATCCTGTGTTTATTAGACATATACCCGATGCCGGGCCCACTTACTAACAACATCCTCTTTTCCAAAAACAAAAGAAAAGAGGGTCGAGACTTTCTACCGAAATTTTGGCAGAGCCCCCATTGAAAAATGAACTTTTCCCAAAATATTTAACCTATAAAAAACACAGTAATAATTCCCAACTAGCAGCATGCACAATACAAATGCACACAATTTACAGAATAGGCCTCCGGCCTTACATCCAACCCTAACATGGGCCATAACAGAGCAATTCTAGAGAAATTCAGCTTACAACTGGAAGCATACATTCAAAGGAAAGCAAAACAAATAGAAATTTTTCCTAGAAGGTTCAGGGCGCGAAAGTGTGAATCTTGGCTCGGTTGCTCGGCTCAAATCAAGCTACTGCCTGGGAGGCGCAAAACAAAAAAAATTATGAGTGGACAAAAACAAAGTTTAATCATAATTGATAATGATATACTAACCCCACCATTTGGAAAACGATGCCAAAACATGATTCAAAACCGATATATAAACATATAGTTAAATTAAAACCAAGGTGAAACCCATAACCCGTAATGGTATACTAATACCCAAACCCACTTGAAACTTTTCCCTTTTTCCCAAACGATTCTCACCCAAACGCATGCATGTTGGCACAATGAGCAAGGAAGGATCCTCACCAACAAATAAAAGTAAAGGTATGTATATCTATATATATATATATATAAGACCGCTACCAAACTTGTACCGGGAAAACAATCTAACTGGGGGATTGTTTGACTAGACCACATGGAAGAATCCTCAATTGACCATGTGACTAGGGAATGAGCCTTCCAACCGGGGGACTGGGCTCACCCGCACGCACAGTAGAATCCTCAATACTTGTGCACCTGTGACAAGTCCTACGAACATAGACTACCCAGCTAAGGGTCTATGAGACACCCAGTCAAGGGTGCCTAGGTTCCAACATATCCGAGTATCCAATATTCTCAAGTATCCAAGTGCCGGGGAGGTACATAAGGTAGTAGTGGTAAAAGCACTCCAGACTAACATAAACCACAACCCAAATCTCATTCCATAACCACTTTCCGACAATCCCATGTACCCAACACATATCTCTAGACAACCGGACATCACTAGTGTCCAAAACACAAATCCCATATTATACATATGCAAAGTATCCAATAACATATCGATGATTCATAGAATACTAAAAGTAATACTAAAACAATATTAAAGTTCCAACAGTCAAAAATATCCTAATACGTAAATATGCATACATTCCACATTCAAAAATAATGATTATTTTAAAGCAAAGTCCACTCACAGAAAGTCTGAACCTGTGTGACCCTGATAGGGTCCTACTTGCTGAGCACGCTAAGCTGGAGTACCTATTGAAGAATACGAGGACTAGATTAAAATAAGGCACTTTGAACGAGAACTTTAAAACAAACTCCTAGTTTTTCCAGGACTCAAGTATGTGTATGATGAATGGGGAGTTTCTAAGGTCCAACTATGTGTTTCGAAAGGTGAAATAGCCTCGGAAGACTCTCGATCAACCAAGTGGTCAAACTTTCCAAACTTGGTCAACCAAGCCCGCGAGGCCCACAACCTCCGAATTCCAATCCGAAAGTTCCTACGGATTCAACAAAGTTCACTAAACATGTTCTGAAAGTTTGGTCTCGATCGAGCAGTTCGGATCGTTCTCGATTGCACGATTGGACAGTTACTATTTTACGTAATCATTGAATCATTGATTCAGAGTATCCGAGACTCCGATTCTCGATCTGTGAGTTCTTACACGTTACTAGAGGTACAGAGAACAACATACTTGGAAATGGAGCCAATCCAACAATCCAAACATATTGAACCCGAATATTGCCAAATAGGCATAAATCCGTTCAACTGTTAAATGATAACCAAATTCAAATCCGAGCATACCATTGTTCTCAAGAGAACATTTTAGAAACAAAATGGGCCACCACACCACGGCCCCATGCACCAGCAGTGCGTGGGTGTCTTGAGAAAATTCCGGCGACTAGAAAATTCTCAAAACACCTGACAATACCTATACTTGTGTGATTGGGACAACTAGGGGAGTAACTTTTGTTCTTGGACCTCAACCAAAAAGTGGCCGGAGCTAGCCAGAATCGTACAGTTTTGACCGAAACTTCCCGACCTCGATACAACTGCAACAGTTACCAATGGTGTTGCGCAACCTAGGGGAAAGCAAGAGGGAGGAGAAAGCTACTTGATCCAAGTGGTGGCGTGATCGGAGGTGGCCAAAAAATTGCCCACGTCGATGGTAGTTTTGGCCAATTTTTCCCTTTGAAATCGGTGGCCCTACGCTAGTTTTTGGTTGGAGAAATTGGGTGGGTCAGGTAAAGGAGGAGAAGAGGAAGATTTTGCACGTCAATTCGTCAGAAACAGTGGTCGGACGAAGCTCATAGATGTCGGAAAATATGTGTGCATTCTCAATTTGTCTAGCAACCAACTCACGGGCGAAATTCCCAATGAAATTTGCAATATGACTAGCCTCACAATGCTCGATCTCTCCGATAACAACTTCATCAGCAAACTTCCAACCGGTGGTCAATTTATGGTCTTCAACAACACGTCGTTTGTTGGAAGTGAAATCTAACAAAAAGCAAAAGAAACTCTGAAAATAGCATTCACTATTGATTGATAAAAGCTCATGTTGATTCAACCTTTAAGTTTTTGTACCAAAACCAGACTAATTAGATTGGATCTGACTGCGAAGAGAGGGGGAGAGGGAGGAAAAGAAGGAGAGAAGGAGAGAAGGATATAGTGGGTCACATAAGGGCAAATCTGTAGGGGTTAGGTTGGGTCGGCATTGAGTTGGTCGAGTTGTGTCGGAGAAGGTGGTGGGGATGAGAGAGAGGATGAAGGTTGAGCAAATTCTTTGTCTTTTTAATTATGTTTTGAAAATATTAGTTTAAAAATAATAATTTTAATGTTTTATTATTTTAAGGATTTTTTATTGACATATCAGCATAAAAGTGGGTCCTTCACTTGCTACGTCATCAATAACTGACTTTTGGGTGAAGTCGATGGCAAGGGGCAAAGTGGGTCACCAAACCTCGGTCAATGGATGAAAGTGGGTCATTTTGAGTTTGGGGGGGCAAAGTGGGAGTTGACCGAAGTTTCAGGTGGCATTGGTGTAATTAAGCCTAATTTTTATAACATCTAAAGCCTTTGTAAGTTAAAGTGGCTTTCTTCTCATACTGCTATAGCTTTAATACCTTTTAACTCTTTGACTGAAGCTTTTGCATTTGTATTGGATGATCATAAGTTATGACCTCAAGTCTTAGGGGGGGTGTATTCAATTAGGATTTTAATATATTTTTTGAAACTTAAAAGTCTAGTGGTATTCAATTATGATTTTTAAGTAATCAATAAAAATTTGATGGTATTCAATTAGGATTTTAAAATCATCAATGCAAGTCTGGTGGTATTCAATTAGGACTTTTAAAATATTAGAAAAAGTATGGTGGTATTCAAATACTTACCGATTTTGAGGTATTTCATTAAATGATGTATTGTGTGAAACTTTTGAGTGGGTGATATAAGTACCAAACCCCACAAAAAATCTCACCCTATTACATCTTATTCTCACGTTGGTTTGTTTTGGGAGAAGATGAACAAACTTGAGAAGTAAGGGGGTGTATTCAATTAGGATTATAATAAATAAAAAATTGAAGCTTAAAAGTCTAGTGGTATTCAATTATGATTTTTAAGTAATCAATAAATATCTGATGGTATTCAATTAGGATTTTAAAATCATCAATGCAAGTCTGGTGGTATTCAATTAGGACTTTTAAAATATTAGAAAAAGTACGGTGGTATTCAAAAACTTACCGATTTTAAGGTATTTTATTAAATGATGTATTGTGTGAGACTTTTGAGTGGGTGATATAAATACCAAACCCCATAAAAAATATCACCCTATTACATCTTCTCACAACGTAGTGGTTTAACACTTTTGTCCAATTCCTCATCTGCAGAGGGCATTCTTCCAAACAGGGTTTATCCCGCAGCCCAACTTGCTCCTATGTTATGTACTTGTCGGCTTAAATCGGGCTAAGCCCATTTCCTCCAACAGTAACCGCGCATTCGATTCCTTGTATTCTCTAACAGCTCCCTTGTTTTGGGAGAAGATGAACAAACTTGAGAAGTAAACAAGGTTCTCATCTTTCTTCACATGCTTGTTCTCATATATGCTATCATACCATTTTTTTTGTCTCTATTTGTATTATCTGTGTTACTTTGCTGTGGGCACAAGCGTACATACATCTGTTTTTTTATATCTGTGTTGCTTTGCTATGGAACAAACAAAGAAGAAGAAACCAATTTGTAAAGATTGATAGTTTGGGTGTTTTTGGTTTGTTGCGCATTGCCTCATTCTTTAGGATTGATTTTTCTTTTTTATTATTATTTCATAAAATAATATTTTACTTTTGTAAACTGGAGAATGACAATTCGAATAATTATAGAGCTTTGTTTTGATCTAAACTTGAGTCTTTCTTCTCTTTCTTTTTATATAATACTAGTGGACGGTGGAATGACTAGAAGAAGTCCATCACTAGGAAATTTCCTTGCATTAGGATGCGTTATTTCTTGGTTTGAATGCACAGTGTTTGGGTCTTCTAGTCCCACTTGGGGGAAAAGGACCACTGTGCTACGAATTTTACTTCGGGCCTCTAGAACATGAAAAATAATCAAGGGTTTGCATACCAATAAATTAATGAAAGTTTATCAAGTTACATATGCAATGATATTTATTACATACTAATAAAAATATAATCTTTACTTTTATTTGCTCAGATTGGTGTATCATTATAAGAAGATTGAAGCATATTTTATTTGCTCAAAAGTATCCAAGTAACTACACATCACTAAAATTTGAGACTTTCTTTTCTTTTTTGCAAGTATGAATTTGTCCTAATGGCTTTTTATCATGTGCTTATTTGGCTCTATCATTGTTGTTTGATGTAAAGTTGTGAAAATTATGTGTGATATATGATATAGTAGTAAAAGAAGTTTTTTTTACATGTATGATGTAGTAAAATGAAGGACTCACAATAAGGAAAGGACAAAGGAAAAGGCAAAAGTTATGATAATTATGAACTTTGGACCAAGGAAGAAAGCGATTTCCTGTTAGAGCTATTAGTTGATGGTATCAGTTGAGGATGGCGTGATAGTAATGAGTCAATAAGAAAACAATAGAAAAAAGAGTACTTCCTCGCTTGAATGAGAAAATCGTGTCTCCTAAAACATATAACAATTACGTGAGCCGAATGAGATGGTATAAGAAGCAGTCTGACAAAATGACTACTCTTATGCGTAACAACTCTGGATTTGGATGGGACCCAATTACAAAGAAGTTCACGACTAGAGATGAAATATGGGAAAATTACTTGAAGGTGAGCTTTATATTATATGCTATGTCACTTACTAGCTTACTTTAATATTTTATTTATAATATATTAACAATCATCATTTTTTTTCTTTGCTAGTCCCACCTAAGTCACAAGAACCTTCAGACAAAAAGTGTTGCTAATTATGATGATTTAAAAATTGTGGTTGGGGGTGCAACTGCTACTAGGAATGGCTCACTTGCATTAGGTGTCGATGATACCGATACAACAACTTTTAGGGACGAGGAAAACCTAAATTTTGGGATGGAAGACTTTACATATGATGCTGCCAATGAGACATTTTTAGCACCAAGTCACTATCAACCATCCTTCCAACCGTTATTACCCTACCAATCTACACCACCCTTTGAGTCCCCTTTAGGTTTTGAGGTTCCTCAAGGAAAAACAAGTTAAAAGAAGAGAAGTAGATCCGAGTATGAAGGGAGTTCTAACTCAATTGGTTCCACCAATCAAGCCAAAGTTCTTGAAACCATATCCACCAATTTTGAGAAAATCTATGCTCTAATGGAGAAAAGAGAAAGAGATAGAGAGAATAGTAATTGGGATGCTATGAAGGATGTACCAAACTTGGATGATAATGTTTGATACAAGGCTGTTGAATTGTTTAATACTAAAGTAAAATAAGACATGTTCTTGAAGATGTCACCCGAAGAGTGCTTATCTTGGATATCCTTCAAATTGGGATGAATTGTTATTTGGATCACCTTGGTTTTTGGTTGAGAATTGTTTACTTTGAATTATTGAACTATGAATTTTATTTTTGGTATTTTTGTTGAACTATGCATTTTGGTTGTGTCATTTTGGTTGAACTATGTATTTGGTTTAATTTGTTTTATTTTAATTTCCATGAATATGCTTCTTCTTTTTTCACACCATGAACAAAAAGGGGTGACCAACTAAAATAATATGTATGAAAATCACTAGAAACGATAAAGTAATATAACCAACTAAAACTATCATCTATACAAGTAATATGAGGTCCGCATGCAAACAGTACATCTTGTACTTTTCATTGTCCATTGATCACTAGAAACAATAGATCTCATTTCATTAAATTGATTGTTCTAATTAATATGTATGTGAATTTTTGTTAGGACCAATTTTTGGTATATTGGCAATTTCCTGTTACAAAAACATAGAGTAGGTCTTTGAGTGTAACCTACAGTTTTCAAGTGACATTCTGCTATCCTGGATCAGTGTGGCTCAGAGACAATGCCAAGGTATGTTTTGCATCCATGCATTCATATTTTCATATTTGCTTGATCATCAAAAGTGGTTGTAAGATGTACATGACTGATATATGATTTCAGTCTTATATAATCCAGTGCCAGACATCAATGAGTTTTTAACGATGGTTTTATATTCTTTAGCAAAAGGGCTCTTTTGTCTTTACGGCTGGGTTTTTAATTAAGTGGCTTTATTTGTTTTAAAGAAATAATTTATTTGTTAAAAAGCCCATTTTTGCTAAAAGCCTTTTTTGGTCTCTGACCTAGTTTTAAGCGTGTAATAAAAGAAAGGGACTTAGCCTTTTTGTGGGTGTGTCTGCAACATTGAAAAGAAGAAGAACGACAAAATATTTGCAAAGAGGTTTTTGAGAGTTCATATTGAAAACTCATGTGGCTGTTCCTTGTTAGCCTCCATGAGTGATTAAATAATCATCTTTTCATATATGTGTGAGTTCATGAGCATTATGCATGTTGGTGATCAACAATCGTGCCTTGAGGTGTGAGCAGCCGAGACTAGAGTTGTGCCATCTCTTGTTGACGAAGGAAGACAAGATCGCTGGTTGGGTTGAGTAGCAAAGGCGAGTAGGCAAGTCTGCCTTGTGAGCATTAGTCTTGTGAGTTGAGACTTGTAAGACCTTTTTGTATTCTTTCTCATAGTGATTTGTTCTCCGGCATAGTGCCCGCAGTTGTTTTCCTCATCTTGAGGTTTTTTACTGCGTCAACATATCGTGTGTCCCTTGTGCAATTGTTTGCGTTTTTATTTGAATTTATTCTGCTGCGTATTCTGGAATTTTTGCTTACAGGATTGTTACAGTATTTCAATCCTGTCGTGGTTTTTGAGTATTAAGAAACAGATCAGTTGGCCATTCTAGGGAATTTCAATTGGCATCAGAGCTGGTCACTAGACGTGCTTAGTGAGATCGTTGGGCTGTGCTAGAATGGATCGTGCATGTGGGTCTGTGACTCATCCTCCGTTTCTTGATGAGAATACTAACTATGGGGCTTGGAAAGCTAAGATGAAATCTTTTCTGTGGGCTCAAGGTACAAAGGTGTGGACAACTATTGAGAATGGTTGGGAACCTCCAACAAAGGAAATTAAAAGGCGTGGAAAAGAGGTTGAAGGTGAAGGCCAGTCGACAACAAAGGTTGTAATTAAGCAAAATACAGAGTGGACTGATGAAGAAAACAATATGAGTGCCTACAATCAAAAAGGTCTTAACTCCATCTTCACTGCGGTATCAGCTGAAAAATTTGAGTTTATATGTCATTGCAAAACCTCAAAGGAGGCTTGGGATATTCTGGAAATTACTCATGAAGGAAATGCCACTGTCAGAGAATCCAAACTTCAACAACTGATGACTAAGTTTGAAAATATGAAGATGCTGGAAACTGAAAAATTTGCTGAATTTTACGCTAGATTGAGTGTGGTGGTGAATGCTTGCAGCAACCTTGGTGATGCAATTCCTGAACACAGAATAGTGAAAAAGATTTTGAGATCTTTGCCTATGATGTATCACGCCAAGAAGACAGCGATTGAAGAGTGTAAGAATTTGAACACTTATAAACTTACTGAGTTAATTGGTTCTCTTACCACTTATGAGATGGAATTTCCAGAAATAAAGAAAAGCAAGGGCATTGCTCTAAATACAGTGAAAGAAGATGGGAGTGACAGTGTGTCAGAAGACAAAATGGATTATGCTTTGCTTACAAAACAATTTCGTAAGTTTTTGAAATCTAAGAATTCAAGGTTTGGTGAACAAAGAGGAAATTCAGGTTCAAGTACAAGAGGGAGTCGCCCTCGTGAGTTTACTTCTGACAAGTTATCACATACAACCAGAACTATGGAGAGAAAGGGCTCTAAAGATTCACTGAAGTGCTTTGAATGTGGTGGATATGGACACTTTGCCTCTGAATGCGCAAATAATTTGAGGAAGCAAAATAGTGGGAAAAATAAAGTAATGGCAGCAACTTGGAGTGATAGTGAGTCTGATAATGATTCAAATTCAGAAAATGAAGATCAAGTTGTTGCTTTCTCTGGGAGAATTCATGCGCAAAAGGATGAGAACTCTGATGTTGAAGAACCTGAGATAGAAGTGGTGATGAAGCAATTCAACAGTCTCTATGATTCCTCTGAAAAACTGAAGAAGAAAAATGCAGAGCTTGCTGATCAAGTGGCTTTTCTACAAGACGAACTAACCAAGACTGAAGCTGCCTTTCAATCCCAGCTGAAAAACAGAAGAAAATCTGCGTGGGTCTTTGCTTGAAAAAATTCAGATGCTCCAAGACAAGTACCAGCTGCAGAAAGATATGAATGTTTCTCTTACTTTCGAAAGGGACCATGTTAGTGCTGAATTAAAATTAGCAACGGAAAAAATATTTGGTATGACCATTGGTGCAGAGAAGATTGACAGGATGTTAAGTCTGGGAAAAAGGGCTGGTGATACGAGAGGTTTGGGTTTTGAAAGTGAAAAGTCTAAGCAAGAGGTCAAAGCTGTGAAATTCATCAAAGAATTCTCTTCTACTGAAGCGAAGGTTAGCCCAAAGAAATTTATACCAGTCTGTCATTTTTGTGGAGTTTTTGGTCATATACGGCCTAGATGCAATGTGCTTAGAAAGGAGAAGAGGTCAGCTTACTACTATTCTCCAAGAAATTTTAATCCATCTCAAAGAACCAAACTAGTGTGGAAAAAAAAGGAGGAAAAGTGCTTGGTGACTTTAATGGCCTTATCTGCTAGAAAATCTGATACATGGTATTTCGACAGTGGTTGTTCAAGACATATGTCTGGTGATAAATGTTGGTTTACAAATCTGAATACAGAGTGTGTGGAAGGCTCTGTGACATTTGGAGATGGAAGTAAAGGTAAAATTTTAGGGAAAGGAGATGTTGAGACACTTGGCTTACCATTCTTGAAAAATGTCATGTTGGTGGAAAATTTGCAGGCAAATTTGATAAGCATCAGTCAACTTTGTGATGATGGTAGCAGCGTGTGGTTTGATAAAGATCAATGTTATGTTGCTGATTTTCAAGGAAAGAAGGTTATGAGTGGCATGAGATCCAAAGATAATTGCTATTGTATTCAGGTGAATGAGAACAAAAGTCTTGTGTGCAATCGCGCTACTGATGACGTGATGGAACTGTGGCATAGAAGACTTGGTCATATCAACTTTCGTGATCTCTTGAAGCTGTCCAAGAATGAGTGTGTCAGAGGTCTGCCAAAGCTGAGTGGTAAGTCTGCAGGAGTGTGTGGTGCGTGCCAATTAGGTAAGCAAGTCAAGAGTGCTCACAAAAGCATATCCTACATATCAATATCCCAACCATTAGATTTGCTGCATATGGATTTAGTTGGTCCCATTCAGACTGAGAGCATAGGTGGAAAGAAGTATATGTTGGTGTTGGTGGATGACTTTACTCGGTTTACTTGGGTTGATTTTCTTCGTGAAAAATCTGATGCATTCAAGAGTTTTCGTGGCCTATGCAACAAAATTCAGATCGAGAAAAATGCTTCACATGTTACTGTCATGAGACTTCGAACAGACCATGGAACAGAGTTTGAAAATATAAGCTTTGCTAAATATTGTGAAGAGAAAGGAATAAAGCACGAATTTTCAGCACCTATTACACCTCAACATAATGGGGTGGTTGAGAGGAAGAATCGCACCTTTCTTGAAATGGGACGTGTGATCTTGACAAGTGCTAAGATAGCGAAGAAATTTTGGGCAGAAGCTATTAGCACAGCATGTTATACAGCAAATCGTGTATATCTTAGACCGGGCACAACTTCAACTCCTTATGAGCTTTGGAAAGGGAGAAAACCTAACATAAAGCACATGAGGGTTTTTGGGAGCGTCTGCTATATTTATAGAGATAGAGAAAACCTAGCAAAGTTTGATACAAGAAGTGATGCTGGCATCTTTTTGGGTTATTCTCTCACTAGCAGGGCTTATAGGGTGTTTAACAAGAGGACATGTACGGTAATGGAATCAATTAATGTTGTTGTCAATGATACTGATATGTCATTTGGTTCTTGTGCAGATGATGATGAGGATATTATTCCAGCAGCTCATAGGCAAGAAGAAAAGGACAAGGTGGCTAACATTAATGATGAAGTGCATGCAGAAGAAGATATGTTTTCACCTCCTCTTAGACCTGGTGCTCGGCAAGTCCAAAAAGACCACACACCATCTGATATTATTGGAGATTTAAATGATCAAAGAAAGACAAGAAGCCAAGTCGTTGCGGAGGTAACTCATCTGTGCTATGTTTCCAAATTGGAACCAAAAAATTCAAAAGAAGCACTTCTTGATTGTGATTGGATCATGGCTATGCAAGAGGAGTTAGACCAGTTCACTAGAAATGATGTGTGGTACTTGGTTCCACGTCCCAAGGACTTGAATGTGATAGGTACAAAATGGGTTTTCAGGAACAAAACTGATGAAAATGGTGTTATTACAAGAAATAAAGCAAGGTTGGTTGCACAGGGATATTCCCAGGTTGAAGGGTTGGATTTTGATGAAACTTTCGCTCCCGTGGCAAGGCTTGAATCAGTTAGATTGCTTTTAGCTATAGCTTGTCATATGAGGTTCAAACTACACCAGATGGATGTGAAAAGTGCGTTTCTAAATGGGGTTTTACAGGAGGAGGTATATGTAGAACAACCTGTAGGATTCAAAGATCCTTACAATCCTGATCATGTATATCGTCTTAGAAAAGCTCTCTATGGGCTGAAGCAAGCTCCTAGGGCTTGGTATGATCGGTTGTCATCCCATTTGCTGAATAAAGGGTATGTCAGAGGAGCTGTTGACAAAACTCTGTTTGTCAAAAAGACCAACAAGGACTTGATTGTTGCTCAGGTTTATGTCGACGATATTGTTTTTGGGTCTACATCTGAATTTCTTGTAAAAGAATTTACTGAAGTTATGAGCAGCGAATTTGAGATGAGTATGTGTGGGGAGCTGAGCTATTTCCTAGGCCTGCAAGTCAAGCAACAAGATCATGGTATCTTCATTTCTCAAACCAAGTATGCAAAAGACTTGGTAAAAAAGTTTGGTATGAGTTCTGCCAAACCAACAAGGAATCCCATGGCTACACACAACAAAATTGATGCTGACCCTTCTGGAAAATGTGTAGAACAAACACTTTACAGAAGCATGATTGGAAGCCTCTTATATTTAACAGCCAGTCGACCCGACATCTCATTCAGTGTTGGTGTGTGCGCTCGCTTTCAGGCAAATCCAAAGGAGTCTCACTTGAATGCAGTCAAGAGAATCATCAGATATGTAAGTGGTACTCCAACTTTAGGTGTATATTATTCATTTGACTCAAATTCTGAAATTGCAGGTTACACCGATGCCGATTGGGCTGGAAACGTTGATGATAGGAAGAGCACATCTGGAGGGTGCTTTTATGTAGGTAATAATCTTGTGTCTTGGCATAGCAAAAAGCAAGCTTGTGTTTCCTTGTCTACAGCCGAAGCGGAATACATTGCTGCTGGAAGTTGTTGCACACAACTACTATGGATGAAGCAAATGATGAGTGATTACGGCATTTATCAAGGTACTTCAACTCTTTTTTGTGATAATCTGAGTGCAATAAATATTTCCAAAAATCCGGTTCAACACTCACGAACAAAACACATAGATATTAGGCATCATTTTATTCGTGAATTGGTGGAAGAAAAGGTGGTAAGTCTTGAGTTTGTTTGCACAGAAAAACAATTGGTTGATTTGTTTACAAAACCATTAGACACTATTCGTTTTGAAGCTCTCAGGAAGTCTCTTGGTATTTGTTCCATTGAATGAACTCCCTCTAATTTTTTTTTTTTTTTGCATTCACATTTCATTGTTGTATGCCCATGTCGATTAGGTTTCTTAGTTTCTGTTATTATTATTTTTTCCTTCGGTTTTATTTTTTGTAGCCTTGTAGTATATCATTGCATTGCATTTTCAATCCCATTGTCATAAGCTTGTATTTCTTTGAACTAAGATTGGGTTTTCTAGTCTGAGTACGGGACTAACTGTGAGACACATGCTCTTAGTTGGGAAATATTTTTCTATGTTAGTCTCTGGCATTAATCCTTGCTTGGCATTTTCACAGCATTTCCTTGGTTCTTGCACACGCACACCAATATGAGCTATGAATGCCTTTGTTGCAAGATTTCACTTTAAACGACAATGATAGATATCTTTGGAGCTTGACTCAGGTTATCCCAAAGTAGCCGGACCTCTTACCTAACCTGAAACGACCCGACCCAAATTCCACTTTGAGAATCGGGCCTAATCCTGTTTAAGATTGACACCTGGTAACTGTGGGTCGTAAAAGACCAAAATACCCTGAAAACAGTAACATAAATTTTGAGCCCCTAACTCGTGGCTGCGCCTGATAACTGTAGGCTGCCTACGTACCCTTTCTAGGGGATCAAGCCACACGTAGTTCTTTCCTCTGTTTTTGACCTGCAACTGGTTCGTTATTTTGTAACTGGTTTAATTATCCGTAAAACATACTCTAGGGTTGACATTTCTGGAGTATCCGGGACTCCGTTTTACGATCCGTCAAATACTATACGATCCTGGAAATACCTAGATCAACATACTTGAAATTGACTACGATCCAACGGTTCAAACGTATAGAACCCGGAAATCGCATACTAGGCGAGATCCGTTCGGGGTTCAAACGTTATCCGAATTAAGATCCGCGAAATCCTACGCGCTCGTGAGGACTGGGAGATCATTCTAGGACTGACTGTGGTCCCCACCCTGCTGCCCACGCGCCGCCACAAGCGCTGGCAGCGCGTGGTGCCTAAAGCGATAACGCCTCGCCGGAAAATCTCAACATCTCGGTTCAAGACTCCTATCCTAGGTAAAACACCCTATTTGGAACCACTTTTGTTCTTGGACCTACCCCAAAAAGTGGCCGGAAATGGCCGGAACAGTGACTCGAAAACCGGCTGAAACCTAACTCGTAAATCGAGCTATCTACGCTGGAAATTTCTGAAATCCTACCCAACCAGCAGCTAGAGCATGAAAAATAGCTAAAAATCCATACCTCACTCGTCCGATTTGGTGGCCGGAGGTGTCCGAACGAGCTCCGTGAAATTCCATCAAAAACTGTCCAAACCGCCCTGTTTCGTGGCGGTTTCCGGCGTCCACACCGGCGGATCACGGCTGGGATGGGTTAAAACTGAAAGAGGGGAGTGAGGTGGTTCGTTTGGCACTGGTCTTGCTCAATTTGGTGGTCGGAGCTGAGAGAAACCCTCTCCTAAAGTCGGCTCGTCCAACTGGAGGAGGAGAAGAAAACTGGTTTTATAAAATCTGAACTTCGAAATATTTACGGTTATGCCACTAAACTTCTTTTGCTCGTAACTCCTTCGTTACAACTCCGATTTGAGTCCACTACATGTCTACGGACTCGTTTTGTCGCGCTCTACGCAACGGTACAACTGGAATCCTCAAATTCCTTCCCGGTCAAAAAGTCAACTTTTAAACTAATAAAATATTCTATGGGTATTTTAGTCTTTTTTCTCAAATAAATTAATAATTAAATATTAATTTTGGGTTTGGGTTATTACATAACCAGTGTCGAGGGTCGCGTCGAATACAGATGATGGGCCATTGGTTTATTTATAAAAAAAAAAAAAAAAAAAAAAAATAAAAAAAAAAAAAAAAAAAAAAAAAAAAAAAAAAATGCACACAAATCACTAACTGAAGCCTTTTTGACTCGAGTTGCTAAGCCCATGGAGTATCATTGATATACTTGTTGGAAAATTTAATATTAACTAATATTGATTTTCCTATTTGAATGGAAATTAATAAAATTCATTGGGTTAAAGACATGACCCTTGGGTTAAAGACATCTTCACATGGGGAGTAACAACTCTTCAAACTAAGGGATGCATTGTTTGGGGTGACAACTCTTCAGACCAAGAGATGCATTGTTTGCCTTTTCAAATTGGGATACCTTTTTGGAAAGGGTATTTCATCATCTATAAATAGACCAATCCTCCTGCAGTTTTAATAATTCAATTTAATTCTCTACATACAGACTTTCATATATAGAGAACATTAGAGTTTTCATAAAGAGAGGTTCTTGCATAATTTGGTTCAAAGTTCCTTGTGAATTGCAGTGCTTCTTTCACAAGGAGGGGAGTCGTTGTATCCTGGGAGGCGAACGCTAGTGAACCATAAGCACCAGTGTGGGGCGTAATTCGTCTTAAGGTCAGAGTGTCCAACACTTGCCTCGACTCAATTAAGGTTCTTTTAATTCAATTCTGCTTTTGTAAAAATCTGTTTTATGTGCAGTATTTATTTTGTTTATTTTATAGCAATTTAGCACTCATTTTTCTTACAATACTTAGTGCCCTAAAGTCCTCTCGCTTGGGAGCATCTGGCCTAAGACTTATTACAAGTCACTAGAAAGCTTAATAAAGTTGTGGACCGTGCTCCATAAAGAAAAAATATATATACAGCACAATTGTGAATCTGTTGAATACCATTTGTATGCATTGTCATTCCTATCTCTCTATTGGTTCACTTTTCACACCAAGGACCCCTGTGCATTTTTGCTAGCCTTGATTATATGGTGTTGCCTAACATGCAGAGATATTTCACAACACTTGATGTTGTGGGTTCTCATTGTTACTCTTCAATTTTGACTTGATATCTCCTTACAAGCTTTGCTTAGAAATCTCGTGTGTGACACTGGTTTGAAAAAATAAAAAATAAAAAATTTCATCTTGTGTGCCTTCTTGCTCCTTCGTCATTACATGTATCTTTTCATACATTCATGGGAGATTTCATAATTTGGAACTTTTGCCTACATTGTTCTTCCTGGGAGTGGTTGTTTGATGTGCAAGTGGTTATTTCTTTGAGGGGGAGTTTGCCATTACCTATCCAAAAAAGGGGGAGTAAACATTCTGAGTTTTATTTTGACATATTGTCTTTTCAACCATACATGCTTTTCACTGGTTATTTTTTGGTTTAGTGGTGCAGAATTCAGGTTACCTTTTCTATTGCAAGTGGTTATGTTTGAGGAATTCTTTTCACTCACTTGTACTTGGTTTAGGGGGAGATTGTTAGGACCAATTTTTGTAACTAGAGTTTTTGTATAGGAAATGCCAAAGGGGGAGATTGTTAGGACCAATTTTTGGTATATTGGCAATTTCCTGTTACAAAAACATAGAGTAGGTCTTTGAGTGTAACCTACAGTTTTCAAGTGACATTCTGCTATCCTGGATCAGTGTGGCTCAGAACAATGCCAAGGTATGTTTTGCATCCATGCATTCATATTTCATATTTGCTTGATCATCAAAAGTGGCTGTAAGATGTACATGACTGATATATGATTTCAGTCTTATATAATCCAGTGCCAGACATCAATGAGTTTTTTAACGATGGTTTTATATTCTTTAGCAAAAGGGCTCTTTTGTCTTTACGGCTGGGTTTTTAATTAAGTGGCTTTATTTGTTTTAAAGAAATAATTTATTTGTTAAAAAGCCCATTTTTGCTAAAAGCCTTTTTTGGTCTCTGACCTAGTTTTAAGCGTGTAATAAAAGAAAGGAACTTAGCCTTTTTGTGGGTGTGTCTGCAACATTGAAAAAGAAGAAGAACGACAAAATATTTGCAGAGAGGTTTTTGAGAGTTCATATTGAAAACTCATGTGGCTGTTCCTTGTTAGCCTCCATGAGTGATTAAATAATCATCTTTTCATATATGTGTGAGTTCATGAGCATTATGCATGTTGGTGATCAACAATCGTGCCTTGAGGTGTGAGCAGCCGAGACTAGAGTTGTGCCATCTCTTGTTGACGAAGGAAGACAAGATCGCTGGTTGGGTTGAGTAGCAAAGGCGAGTAGGCAAGTCTGCCTTGTGAGCATTAGTCTTGTGAGTTGAGACTTGTAAGACCTTTTTGTATTCTTTCTCATAGTGATTTGTTCTCCGGCATAGTGCCCGCAGTTGTTTTCCTCATCTTGAGGTTTTTTACTGCGTCAACATATCGTGTGTCCCTTGTGCAATTGTTTGCGTTTTTATTTGAATTTATTCTGCTGCGTATTCTGGAATTTTTGCTTACAGGATTGCTAAGAAGCACGGATACGCTGGTTGAGGAGCGTATCCCGTATCCGATACGCTGAGGGATACGATACGCTGTGGATACGTGCGGATACGCGATGGATACGTATCCGAGTAAACTGATACGGTCAACGACAAAAAGATACGAGTATCCATTGTTTAGGATACGTGTATCAGAAAACGTCTCCACTTCTTCTTCTTTCAGATCTTCCTTCTTCTTCTTCATCCAGCGGTGCCCCTACTCATCAATTTCTTCTTCTTCATCCTTCATTGTCTGCGGCGTCGGGTTCTCTTCTCCATTTTCATTTTGTTTTCTCACGCGTGCTTCTCTGTTCTGATGGCTGGTCTTATCCTTTTGACAAAAGGATTTTGTTTGTTTTTTTTTGGGTCAAAGGATTTTGTTTGTTTAATACTCTCACAGTTTCACCCACACCCCACGTGATGGCTGGTCTTATCGTTTTGACAAAAGGATTTTGTTTTGTTTGTCTTATTAAAAGTAATAAAATATTATAACCAAGACAAGTGGAAGTATGTTAAAAGTAATAATATTATCATTTTTATGTTATTTAAAATATGTTTTAAATTATATATATTGTTATTTTTAAATTATTATATATTTTTTAAATTACCGTATCCACGACGTATCGTATCCTAATTTTGAAAATTGTCGTATCCCCCGTGTCGTGTCGTATCGTATCCCCGTATCCGTATCCGTGTCCGTGCTTCTTAGCAGGATTGTTACAGTATTTCAATCCTGTCGTGGTTTTTGAGTATTAAGAAACAGATCAGTTGGCCATTCTAGGGAATTTCAATTTTATTTTATTTTTATTTAATCAGCATGTGAATTACATGATAAAGAAT